GAGTCAAGAGCCCGTACTACTTTTGTTATAAGTGTAAACATTGCATTGGTGGTTGATTTCCCTTTTACGAATCCAAATTGGTTCTTAAACATAATATTATTTCTTTCTAAAAATTGTACTAATCTTGTTATTACTACTTTTTCAAATATTTTCGAAATGGTCGAAACTAGAGTGATAGGTCTGTAGTTATCACAAGTGGTTGGTATGCCTTTTTTATACAGTGGTTTAACAACGGAGGTCTTTAATAGGTCAGGGAAGGTTCCTGCTTCAAAAGAACTGTTGACCACGTTGGCTAGAGGCTTTGCTATTATATGTCCAATTTCTTTAATTATATTGGGAGAAATTTCGTCCGCCCCGGAAGACTTCTTATTTTTCATCTCATGAATTATTCTTAAGATCTCAATTTCATCTGTTTTGTAGAGGAAAAACGAGTCTCTTACTGAGCTTATAGTGTTTAAGCTGTGGACTCCTTTGGACTTGTTTCCAACGTTCAAGAAAAATGTATTAAACATCTCAGCAACAGCGGTGGGATCGCTTACCACTTGACCAATGTCATTGATAATCTTAATCGGTTTCATTTCATTGTCCTTACATTTTTTATTTTTCTTTATTGTTTGCCATATTGCTTTAGATTTGTTGTCGGAGCCGTTGATTTCTTTTAGTATCTGGGCTGATTTTATCTGTCTAATTTGGCATCTATATTTTTGTTTCATGTGAAAGTAGTATTGTCTCATATAATGTGTTGAGTTAAGATCCTTAGTTTTTATATAAAGTTCGCGAACAGTTCTTCCTAACTCAATTGTATCAGGTCCAAGAACTATTTTCCTCCTATCTTTTGCTATTTTGTTTTTCAAGACTCTCTTGGGAAACGCGGTGTTAAAAAAGTGAATTAACGTTGTCTCGAAAGCTGAATATTTATCATTTACATCATCTAGGGAGTATACTGATTCCCAATTTTCTTCCTTTAACAATATCTCAAAATATTCTTTAGCTGAGTGTGTAAACTTTCTACAAAATATTGATCTGGGCGCTGACGATGTTTTTGTGTTTGGAAGTATTAATGTAGCAAGTTGGGCGTGGTGATCTGAGAGGGCTGACACTATCACGGAACATCTGAAATTCTCATCCTCACTGTTCGTAAACACGTGATCAATAAGAGTTCTGGAGCTTTTGAATTCTCTAGTAAAGGATTTAACTCTGTTGGTCAGTCCAAAGGAGTCCATTGTAGTGATATATTGAGAGGCTGTAAACGATTTAGTGGCCAAATCTATATTAAAATCTCCTACGATTATGGTTTTGTTTTTGTAATTATTGTATTTATCGAGGCATTCTGCTAAGCAGTCAAGAAAGATTTGATGGTTATTTGTAGGTGGTCTATAGCCTGCAACGAGAACAACTGTTTCTCCTCCACAATCGATTAGTGCTCCGGCTAATTCACACTCGCCCTCGTGGCAATACAAATCCAAATCAATTTTTTGACAACAAAGGCCATTTTTGGCGAGTATACAGACTCCACCTCTCTCAAGATCTTTTCTGCAGAATGAAGAAACGTTGTTAAACCCCTCCAGTTTAAATATTTCAAATTCGTTTGGTTTTAAATTGTGTTCTGTAAGGCAAACAATATCTGGCATCTCTGTGTCGAGGAAAACTTGCAACAGTTCTAATTTCGAAGCAATGCCTCTAATATTTTGATGTACTATTTTTATACGGCTCCGAAGCATGCTCCCCACGTCTTCCTGGGACCCATCCATGGGACTCCGTACTGTTTCCGAGCCGCCTCCAAAAAAGACCTGTTAAAGAAAACACTGGCGCCACCCAGAGCCTTCCTCACCGGTCCGCCGGAGTCGACCCGCTGCCCATGCCCAGTGCTGTGTCCAGGCTTGGAGGGCTCCGTCCCCCCGGAGACCAAGTCCGCTTGAAGGGGCGCAGATGGACAAATTTTATCTCGTAACAGCTCAGACAGCCGCCGCTTGCCCCGAGGACCCAGATGGAGACCATGCCTGGTGTAGCATGCACGGTCCAGTGAGGCCAGGGATACAAACGAGGCATTTTTATGAGCAGCAACGAGGGACTCTAATTGGCTGTTGATTGAATTGACAGTAGGGATTAATGATGGTTGATCATACCGCGAGGGCAAACCCACCACCATCACCCGCGTATTCTGCGCCACCTTCAGCACTCCGTCCAGCTCATTACATATGGTACTACCGTGCCCGGGACTGACAATGTCATTGGTACCACCTAACAAAACTAAACAATCATTAATAGACATGCTTGGGATTTCACTGAGACCACCTTCTAGGACTTGTTTTAGTTTAGCATTTGGCTTTACCGTAACTCTAACATTGAACTTATTACCTAACTTATCATGAAGGAGCTCTCTTATAAAACGTCCGTGGCTATCTGAGAGAACTCTGACTACTGGTCGGGATTTAGTTACATTAGATATACCATTTCTAAGTTGTTTTTTTAATTGATTTTTTTGTGTTACCCCAGGTTTGACAGTCTTTAGGGGTGGATTCACTTGCTTAGACCTTATTACTTCAGGAGTCTGGCTCACTCCAACTTTAGTCTGAGCTGAAATATTACTGTTACAATCACCTACACAAGCTTCGGGGACAGATATAACACTAAATCTATTTGTACTTAAGACTGATTGGTTATGAGGTACAACTTGTAACTTGCAGCTATGCTTACTCTTCTTAACAACCTGCCATTTGCCATTGCAACCTTTTTTCATATTTATTTTTAAGTTTACATGTTTGCTATTGCTGATGGGCGCCTTATTGCTAAGACTACTGCTATTACAAGAGATACTTTCTGTGCTTGGCACCGTTAACCTATCATTACAATTTGTAAAGTGTTTTGCTGGTTTGAATTCTACAAACCAGTCACTGATGTTTGTTTGTTGACGCAATTCTTTGGGCTGGCTACAATAGCCATAGCTAATTATTTTTGCATTAACTAGCACATGCAAACCACACTCAAAACTGTTTGTCTGCTGCAAGCAGGACACATCGGTGAACATCTGTTTATCTACACCTAAACGCTGAGCTAGGTCAAGTGCTACAGTGTGGTTGGTACTTACGAGAGAGTCAAAGTGGTAGGCAGTATTAGACTCAATGTCAACAATTAAAAGACTCCAATGAGTGCCACTTTTCTCATTACCACTAGACGTACGGTTATTTATACAGCAAAAAGCAAACTGAACTGTTTTGTAACTAAGGTCTGTTAACATGTTTTGAACATCAGACTGATTCCCATGTATAAGGATTTGAGTGACCGTTGGCCCAAGGAACAGACACTTTGAGTTTGGATTTCTATTTACACTAAAAGCATCAAAGTATGATTGGATTGATCTGTCATCAAGCCACCTACTACTATCCCATACTAGATCCTTAGATTGAAGCAGGTCATTTTTCATATTGAGGATTAGAGAATTTAATTCATTAATTTTTGTTGTAGAGGCGCTTAATTTATTACTTAAACTAGAGCATTCACTTTCTTTACCATTTAGAAGGTCAATTATTACCTTCTTTTCACTGACAAGATTTTTTACAGTAGTTTGTAATTCAGTAATCTGCTGTTGCAGTGAAAGGTTAGTATTTTCTACCTTGCCTTTTTCACTCTCCAGTTCATCCTGGATGCACAGAGAATTATTAATATCTAAATTACGTCTACATTTTTCTTCAATAAGAAGAGATTCCAGTTATCAGTTGTTATCCTGTTATCAGGTTATCAGTTAGATGTCCACAGTGAAGCCTAGCCTAGGCACTCCCTGATACTACCTTGTCTGGACAAAAATTTAGAGAAACTAACTATGTAATGCTTCTATAGGCTATGTCTAACCCACGAATACAGTACTAACTTAACTTAGAACAGGAACAGGCCAATGATAGGCTTTAAACGAACAGACACGGTATGGATCATAAATTTAATGTCTATGTTAAACTTAATGCTGTAAAGTTAAGACAATTAGGTCAGTAGCACGAATACTTTCGTGAAGGTCATTTTGTTGTTCAATTATTACTTAAAAAATACGGCTGCACTTTACTTGACGTCCTACACTCATTCGAATGAAAATATCGATCGATATATCGATTAATCGATTGCTTCATTCGATATATCGTTTGGTTAGTTAGGTAAGGTTAACCTAACCTAACTAACCAAACGATATATCGAATGAAAGAATCGAATGAAAATATTGAATCGAAAAAACCAATCGAATGAGTGTAGGACGTCAAGTAAAGTGCAGCCAAAAATACGTTTAAATTTATCTGCGTTCAACTTTATGAAGGGATTAAATTGACGCAATTTATGTATGCTACTTTCAGATCCATGTTGGCTATATTTATAAAGACAATGCCTAGACCAAACTACAAAATAGGCTTACTTAATAAGTTAATAAATACATTGGCAATTTGACAATTAGAACTGAAATCTGAGCTGGTTCTTTAATCTATAGTTTTTAGTTTTTGTTACCAAAATCAAACTTACGTATTGTTGCTGATAAAACTCGATTCTTCAAATGATTTAGATAAATAATAATTAACTTAGCATATTTTGTGAAAATAATGTACTGTACAAGTTGAATAACAACAGACTACTTCTACTTGATTATACAACTGTACTTAACTTACTTGTCTGGTCTGCATTCTGCAAGTGCAAGTGCAGTGCAAAGTGTGTATTGTGTAAATAAATATTAAAAGTGCGTGTCGGCGTCGGCTGCTTCCAATCCAAACAAAATGTAAACAAAACAGTCATGTGACACAGCACCACTTGCGACGTTGCCAGTTCGATGGCCGCGGCCTGTAGTTAAAGGCGGCCGTGGCATAGCCCAGTTAAGAAACTGTACCCCACTGAGCTATATAGGAATAGTCCAATTATTATTATTATTAATCTATTTTATATAATATTGATAATAGCTTTTACAATCTATTTATCTCAATGGTTGTCCCTACAGTACGTCGTACGTCCAACATGGTCCAACCACTGGGTCCAACCATCATTGAAAATCTAAAACCAAAGACAATAGACCATTATTATTATAGACCATTATTGGTATTTCTTTTGTCTATGCTAAAACTAAAGAATGAAAAAAAACATAATAACAATAACATAAACAAACATGTGGGTGATTGACAATCTTAACTGTTTGAAGGTTATGTATGTTTAGAGTTTCTTAGAGGTAAAATTTCAAGTTGGTAATCTTACCCTGATTTTCTAAAATGGATTCTCATTTTTGGAATGATTTGGATCTTACTACACCAGTTATTCTATCATGCCCTCTAAAATGCAGCAATGTGTGTAAGTTATTCGTAATAATCAGTAACTTAATAACTGGACAGCTTAAATAGCTTAGGCTATCTACTGCTACTCTTTAGAGTGTTTCCTTGGTTATTTTGGAAACGTGTCTGTGTTTATGTATTAACATCTTTTTAGCCATTAATAGTAATTCTTACCACAACGAATAAATCTATGAAATAAGTTAGACCTAGTTTGTGTTCTAGATTTAGTCTAGGCTTTAAGTTATCACTTTATCTCATTTAGGCCCCTATTGATGGGCTAAGTTAACAATCACAATTTGTTTCCTACCAACTTGAATCATTCTTAGCTTCTTCAACGAGAGTAAAACAAGCCACGGGGCTTCTTTCAAGGTTGAAGGTTTGATAAGTCTGATCTAAGGTGTTTTTAACTTAACTTGAACTTAAGTTAGGGCCTACATCTAGTTGGCAGATTCTAATAGGTCTAGGCCTACCATTTAAATCCCTAAAGAAGCAACGTTCACTGAAAGGTATACAGTTCCGCAGATCTCATTACTGGATTAAATATGAATATAGGATATATTTAAGTCATATCATAATTATTAGGATTTGGTACGGTATAATTGCATCGAATTGACTTTTAGCCTACCATTCATAGGCCCTAACTTGTGATAAAACAATAACAAAAACATCAATAAGTTGTTTCTTTTTGTCCTTGGGTTTAATTGGCCTAAGTTAAGTTATTTGTACGACTAAAAATTGAAGAAACTAAGCTATACATTTTTTAACCCTATGCGGCAGGGTTGCTACCCATCCTGATTCTGTCGAAACAGTCCCGATTTTGGTTATGTCCGTATTTAAGCCTACGTTAATCCGTGGGGAGGGAGGGTGATGTCCCGATTTTTCCCTAACCTAACTATGTGGCAAACCTGCTATGCGGTAACCATATCAATAAGTTTTGGTTATTGTTTGTTTTGTTCACTTTGATTAAATACATTTAGTTTTTTATTGAATAATTTATGATAAGTTAGTTCTTGTCAATCCACCTTCTTCTAAGTCTTCCTCTTGGTCTCCTTTCGTTCATGTGAAGTTCACTAATTTTTACTCACTTTTAGCTCACTCCTTGCTTTACTGTAAACGATCCACGCACGGGCGCTTAGTCTTTGTGGAAGGGAAATGCAAGGTTAAAAGAGTCCGCCAACCTCTTTATTTAAAAAAAGCTTCTGCACCCATAGGTAATTGTCGGTAGGCCAATATAAGTTTTATACATGGTAACTTTTGCATTCTTTGGTATATATTTAAATCCCAGACTAGATGTCTAACAGTTTGATAAAATCCCACACCTTTCTCCAGTCCAGCTAATTATCACTTAATACAATTATCACTAAATATTTTCCCTTCCTATGCAGTAACTCTACTGAATGCAAAATCTATCCTTAGTAAGCTTTTCTTAACACGTTCAGTGCGGCATACCTTCAAACAGGCGCTCGGAGCCCCGGCGCGCTAACTGATTCATCAATCGCTATTGGTATTGAAATATCTCAGTAAGACGTATCACAAAAGAGCAGTGGTGATTGTTCTGCGTTACCTCGAAAGTGGACTTAGTTCACTGAAACACCCAAAGGTAGCAGCACTGCCTGGATCAATAACCAGAGTCTTTGTAATTTGGCTCGAATAGAGAAAATCCCCAAAAACGGGACAAAAGCATTGCCAGACAGAATTTTACGGGAAATTTTAGTACCAACCTACACCAGAATAAAGCTCGCATTCTAAGCTACAGACTGGTAACGATTACAACGTTCCCCGGCAATGGCTGAGCTCACATTGAAGCAAGGTTTGCATTGGTGAAGGACGACAATACCCGCCCCGCGCTAGTGGCGCCGGTACCATGGGGCGGGAATTCCCGACCCTCGCAGTGAACGTGTTAAGAATTATGTGGCATTTTTCCCAATTCTTGAACTCTTCTGATCCAAATTTTGGAGGCCCCTTCTTGACCAACCTTTTTGTATAATCTTTTAAGGAGATCTCTTTACACTGACATATTAATTTTTCTTCAACAAACTTGCATAAAAAGGTCTTGAAATGTTGAACTTGAGGAAACTTGAGATGTTCATGGGGCAAATACTGACAAAATTTTAAGATGAATAGGCCCTTTGTTGGGAGTGTTGTCATGGTCCACTGTTGTGTAAAAATTCATTGGTAGTTGATTCAAAAGTTTTTGTATTCGCCAAGAAGAAACAGATTCCCAAGCACACAGATTGGAATCACTTCTATTTAATTCAAACATATAAAATCAAAGTGCACATTTGTCTGATTATTTACTATCCGTCCAACTCCCGAAATAGCTAGAAGGATGAAATTAGATATAGGCCTAATTACTCACTATCCAGTATTCACTATTCAGGTTAAAGATATAAAGATTTTATTAAAGGCCTATACCCAAGAAGCCCTTTGAGTTTTAACAAACTGCTCGTGCTTCACAACAGGAAGAGGACGCAGAATAGAATAATAATGTTCTTTAAATATGCTGGATGAAATAGTTAGCCTACATTCAAATCTAAAAAGAAGAAAGAAAAAAGAAAAAAAAATGCTTTATTTTTTCACAAAAAATTAACATTACTAAATAAAAGCATAAATCAACAATGGTTATAAAACCGTCTGTTGTGGTTTGCAGAATACAATATTCTTTTCGTAAAAATAATCTTTTACCATCCTTGAAAGTATAAAAATGCTACTTAAAAAAATCCAAATATTTTCAAGTATGCCTACTCCGAGCATGAGAGGCAGACAATTATTACTTAAGTTACATTCAACTAAATACAATTAATTTGAAATATATAAAACAAAGGAACGAACAAAAGGACAAAATCGCTACCAGTATCTAATTATATAACACTAGTCAAAGTTAAATTCGTTAATTAACTATTCCCTACAGTAGAAGGGGCTATACTGTATAGTTCAAAAATCATTTGTTTAGGTTAGTAATATAATAGTACTGCAACAAATTATTATACAAACACTTTTTATTAGTGTGATACTATTTTTATACATATGAACTGTTATTGTTCCTTAGACAGTATCCATAAGAGATCTGGCCCCAGCACCTGGACAATCATCTTTAGAAACAGACTACCAATTGCCAGAAACAGATGGAAATGAACAAGCTATTCAAGAATTGGAGGTTTTATTTGATCAAGAACAAGACGAAAATGATTCTAGTGGGACATTAAGTGACACGAATGTACCAGTTGAACATGCAAACAGTTCTTGCAAAGACTCAAGTTCAGTGCCTTCCAAAACCCATCCACAGCGTATACGGCAAAGACCTAACTATCTAAAAGACTACGTCTCGTTTTAGGGTGGGAAGAATGTGATAATATTTTTATACATATGAACTGTTATTGTTCCTTATTTAATTTATGAATTTCTTTATTGTCTCACAGTTGTTCTTTGTTTACTATTTACATTTTGTATTTGTGTGTTACAAATCTTACTTCACTTCAGAGTTTATTAAAACCTATCCTTAGGTCAATTCATAATGAGTTTTATTTGCACTTCAATTAGCCTACTATATAAAGGTTGTATAGCTAAGAAACAGTGTTTTATAATTTAAACATTTTAGAAGAAATTGCATTTAACCCTCCGAGTGTCACGTGTTTTGGCCTTAATGTCAGCCTATTTTTTGCTCATTTGCAAGGTTTTATTAAAACTGATCTGAGAAGCTTAAAAACAATGTTAATTATACTGTTCTATATACCATTTTGTTTGGAAAATCTTGGGCTTCAATATTATATATAAAACATAAGGAAGATTTAAAAAAAAAAATTTTTTTAGGTAAAAAAAAATGTATAATTTCGAAAATTTAAAAAAAAAAATAAGTTTGCGCTCAATGAAATTGTATAAATTATAGGCCTATAAATATTTGAAAATAGCCACTTTGTTCTAAATTTTATGAGGATTACAAATATATAATAATATAAGGAAGTAGATTTGCAAATAAATAAGTTATGGGCAAAAAACAGATTTCAGTACATAGCGTTTAGCTAAGAATGCATAGCCCAACCATAGCTAGGAATCTGGCTGATAATTTACATCAATATCACTACCTACTTCTTCAGGATCATCAACCAGCACTTCAAAACCACTTAAATCTTCTTATAATGCACCACGTATATCACTACTTTTGATTTTTAACACTAAAACAATGATAAATGTAATAAAACACATCAGTCATCGGTCCGAGGGTAACCTAGCTGTTTACAAATACACGCACGTCAGCTGTCTGCTACAATATTTTCGGAACTAAAATGAATAGTGCTTAGAGACAGACCTCTGGAGAAAGCTTAGAATATTACGGAAAGAACGATACCTAACTCAATCCAGTACAGTCCGATTCAGTTAGTCATAGAGCCTTCGCCGTAAACAGTGTTCGCGAGTCGCTGTAGCGACGCACGACACTATACAAAGTGCGTTACGCGTCGCTGCAGCGACGCATGACACTCGGAGGGTTAAAAAACCAACCTTCATGAACAACATGAAGTTTATGAAAAAATGTATAACATTTCATCCCAAAATTAAAAGAAAGAAGAAAAAGTCCACAAATGTAGTTCTCTGCAGCACTGCAAGCTGAATGGTCCCACCCTGAACATGAGCAGCACCCTGTACCAGAGCTGTACGGTTTAGCCCCAATCTGTACCTCGTGGGAATTTATAAACATAAAAACTCAAATTCTATCACTTAACCAATCATCGCTAATAACCAAAAGAGAGCTCAAGAGATGTAGTTTATTATGACCTCACAGTTAATAGACTACGATAAATGCTACTTCACTAACTTTTTATTTAGTACTGGACGAAAATTAGAAGCAAGTGAGTAGAAACATGTTTTTTTACTGAAACGTCGAAACTAGCACACATAGCAAAACCATGCAGATACTGTAAACCTGCGCATTCTGTTGCTAGATAGCAACACTTCTCGGGATCACCTTGCTTGAATTCTAGGCCAAAAAAATGGGTGTACGGTTTAGGCCTGCTCCCCCCTATCCATTGGTGATTGGCGGGATTTGAACCCGTAACCTTGGGCACCGAAGACCCACCTCTACCACTAGACCAGTTGCTCCCTCTATTTGATACTTCAGATTATTTTTGATAATTATATTTTCGTGGCTGTTTTTTTACATCACACACTTTACAGTAAGGTGTTGGATAATAAGTAGCCAATAATTCATCTTACTAAGCTGTGTTTATACTAATGCTCTATTGTTGTTGCAGATGGTACTGTCTCAAAATTCAAGTCATACATGATAAGTATTCAAAAAACTATGAACGACTTAAAGCAGCTAGATTCTGAAGCAGCTGCATTATCCAGGCTCATTTATCGAATGAAATATAAACTACGCCAGGAAAAGAGTTTCAAAACACTTCAAATGGTAAGAAAATAGGTTAAATAATTACGTGTAGAGGTTTACAACTAAAATTTTAAATACGGTAAGTGGGTTCCAAGTATGTGCATATTAAAAATCCATAATCTTGCATGAACACTATCTGCCAATGCCGTTATCGATTTTGATCAAGTTATTGTGCTAACGTACACACACACATACACATATATATATATTATATACAGTAGACTCCCTCTTATCCGGACACCTTTTAACCGGACATTGGTTTAACCGGACTACACTCGGTGGGAATGACATCTCTTTAACCGGACAATTTTTATCAGCACATCGGTTTAACCGGACTAGATCGGTAGGAAGTGGGCGGTACTGAAACGACTGTTCTCGTGGGAAAGATTTGAGACCAGTGAATATGTGTCTAAATACAACGAAAGCTCTCCTAAATGTAAGTCAAATACTGTATACAGTATGCATTTAAACAGTCCGTTTTTACGAGTTTTTGGGGACGTCGGTTTATTCGGAAAAACCGCTATCCGGACTGGCCTCGGTCCCGTGGAGTCCGGATAAGAGGGAGTCTACTGTATATGAATTTGAACGGATGGTGTTTTTGGTCTCTGGAGACATCAAAACGAAAAAGTCAAATGGTTCCTGGTACAGGTCTTACCATGAGACCTACGATAATATTCCCTATATGGGAAATTAGTTAAAAAGAGAAAGCAAAATCTGTCTTTACTAATGTAAAAAGAAGCAAAACAGGTGTTGTGTGTAATCCCTAACTCAATAATGCTGTCAACTTCCACCCAAGCCAAAACGGGTTTTTAGGGTAGGCCTCTCCTGCCAGCTAAGCCAAACATTGAGCTTAGTATGAATTGCACAAGTATGAAAATCAAATCCACGCACGTAGAAAGACCTCAATGCTACATTTGTAAGTGTAAGGCCTTAGCCAACTGAGCTACCATGCCACCGTTGCCCAAATGCGACAAGTGCTGCTAAAAGCACACTCGCGGGTGTAATTCAACGAACTAATGCACCGAGCTATACTCAGGCACAGATTATAAAGTGTTAAAAAATAAGTTTGAAAAAAACTCTATGTAGCCTATTAAGAAAGATACACACACAGAGCATCTCAATCCATGCATACTTTCAACCTTAATTTAATATTAGCGTAAATTATGCACCCAAGCATGCTGCTCAAATTGAAATTAACTGCGCAATTAGTTGTAAGTCAAACAAAAATCACTATTTATGTATAAACTTTGTAAAAATCAGAATGAGGTGTTCACTTGAAACTTTTTAAAATTTGGGTCACAAGAATTTGAAATAGTGACCAGTTATTATTTTCAGTAACCTAATTATAAATGGTTTTGTTTTCAGATAAACCGATGCCTAACCAACTACTTGTCCATTCATTTACCATCCACGGTGAATTCAATAAAAGACACACTTCAAGGTATGTCTTAAGCTAAGATGACCGTTGAAGCAAATCTGAATACTTTTAGTTATTAAATCTAATCTTGTTTTCATTAGTCTCTATACCTCCTCCATACAACTGTGTCTTTAAGTTAGTTGAGTGCTTTCTTTCCCTGAAATATGATAACAATTTTGGCTAGCTTTACTTCTACTAGTGTTTTTAACTCATACATCTTTCTTTGATTCCTCCTTATCCCAAAAATTGTGTTTGGGTATAGGGATGTACGTACAGAGTTACCAACAACTCCTGTGGTTCTGATTTTGATTAAATTTAGTTTTTCGTTACTATTATATTATGTGTTTTTACATGATTTTAAATGTTACTTAATTGACATTTTTCTACAAAACCCTATTGAAATTTTATTACATGGAAAATCAGATTTACACAACAATAAAAATAGTTTAAATTATTTTGTTTAAAACTTAAAACTTATTATTTCATAAACGTTTTGTTGTTTTCAATCTGAATGAAATGGCAATGCTGTAAAAATTAGGATTCAATAGTTATTGCAGTTTTAGTGATTTTCCACACAAAAACCCATAGTTAAGTTACCCCCTCTGTATACTTTTTTTGTTTGTTCATATAAGAAGTAGGATATTCCATCTTAATGTCAAGCTAATGGGAGAACGTATGTGTGGTTTGCTGGCACTGTTTATTAGGCCTTTTAAAACTACGCCATTGAAGTTTGCTTTCCTCTGACAGATGACAAAGGTCCTTCCCGTCAGATGCTGGAGTGGATGTTGGTGAGATTGCTGAGTGTGGCTCATCTGTTTAACAGAGTTTACTCCCTCTGCACACAAGCTGCTGGTCATCTGTTTGTTCGTTTGAAGCTAGTTCACATGTACGAAATCACCTTCTTCACCGTTGCAGTGGTCAGTAGACTATGGTGAGTTACTGTCAGTGACAGTAAAGTATTCTAATGTTTTGTGTATATAGCGTAAAGTTTGGTGGCCCTTGTGCTCTATGTTACATCCTTATCCCCATCAAATACTAAATTTGTATTAAAAATTGTGTCAGAATCGTTCAATTATTGATTATTAAAATGGGGATGCCACTATGTGCGTATTTTAACCCAAATAGGAGTGTAGGATGAGTGGCGCGATCTTGTAGTCTTGTTAGTGACTAAGGCTGACATATTCCTTAGAAACAGCTGTTAATTAGCCCAAAAAGCTAATGGCAACTAAGGGACCTACAGTTTATAGTGGAATCCGAACCACATTCTTGCCTTGATATAAAAAAATTGGTATGATCATCAGGATAGTACTGCAGATAGTCGTAGTACTCACGTTCATTACCACTACAGTTCAAGTCTATGTCACTAACTGAAGAGAGTGAAGTTCTGTTACAATTCAAGTCATTTAGGCAAGCCGGAATTGACAGCAGATGGACAGCCTCAAAAATTTAACCCAAAAGAGCAACCACTTACTATGTGTTTTATGAAATACAACAAGTTTTCTTTCAATAAGTAATTTTGAAACGTATATTTCACTGGAGATGTAAATTACTTAAATTAAAACAAACAAGCAATCTTTATTTACATTTTTTAAAATGGAAAAATAATGAAACTTTTTCTATTTGGATTAATAAAAAGCTGGTACTCCAGCCCCATCTTCGAACTCTCTAAGGGTCCTCCACTTCTTTCTTGTCCTCCTTAGACACATGCTGCTGGCCCTTAACGTCGCACAGATGGTTTTCACCCTTATCCAGTTCATCACTAAACTGTAAGGTTTCTTCCATTTTTCTGTGAGGCGTTCTGCCATTGCTCTGAGCAAGGTCTGAAATTCTTTGCCTAGCATTCCGTCCACAGACGTGACTAGTGGGGTGAAAGAAGCATTTCTCGTTTCTGTTATTATTAAATATTTTTTCTTCTTCTCTCTCTGCATTCTCCAGAACTTTTTCGTATGGGAGGTTCAAGTACGATGGAGCATCAGTGTCAACGACACGTACATCGAATAATGCTTCCGTCTGAACCTCCCATACACCCCTACAAGCCAAGTCTGCTTTTAGTGCTGCAGCATCCAATGACCCTTGCTCAGAGATCATTGGTTCTCGAACACAGTTTCCATACTGAAATTATTCATGCAGTCAAACCAGTTCTAATTAGCTGAGTAGTAAAAGTGTTCTCTTGTTAATCAGAAATTTGTTGGTTTGATGATGATTAAAGTTAGTTGCTTTTTGATGGGCAAGACGAGAGCCAGTCGTACTTGATAATTTGATTTTTTTTTAATTACTGTACATTCTTTTAGGCAAGGTATACAATTTTGAAATTTTTTCGGACTTCAATCATCTTTGATCTTTATTATTGTCTGGAGTTATTCTGGACTCGTGATACACAGTTGGACACGTATACACCCATCACATGCAATCATTCTGGGGATCAAGTATGACGTCCAGTCGTGGTTAGGCATTCGATCCATGTGCAGGACAAAAATCAAATGTTCCTACCCTGAAGAAGCAGACTTTTTTGAGTCCCAGGAAAAGTCAAACTCAATCACCAGGACGATTTGAGTGTAATGTGTGTATTTGTGTGTGTGTCTAGCTGTAAATAAGAATTTATCTAAAGAAACTTCAGTTATTAGTAACATAACGCAGACAATCCCACTCCATTCTACTTTCACCCTGCATTTATTTTCAGCTTTAAAATCACAGAAGTGTGTGCTACTGTCTTTAAGAATTGATTTTTATAGAATTGCTCAACTAAGCAGACTAAATTTTTAATAGTAACTGAATTTGGTACATCACACTTTTTTGTTTGACAAGTTTGGTTAAAGAAATAACTAAACCTACACGTTGGTTTCTGCAGGACTTTAGCCCAGTTTATAGTGCGCAAGTGCTGTGAGTGGTATAACAGCCTGTATCAGTATCTAGACAAGCTACAGCTAAGTTCTCACCCTTGGCTGCCTGAAGGATCATTCCTACCTCTAGACTTGGCAGCAACTCTAGGCAATCCTGCGTACCTCAGTCTTAAGTCTGTGTAAGTACTGTGTGTCATATGAGAAAATATGTAACTGTAAATAAAATGAAAAATGTGGGGTAAGATTTTTGTTGTGTAGGACAAACAACGTGCACAAATTGTGCGCTACAGTGGGTCAGTACCAAACCTTAACCATTTGCGCTCAGTTGAAAAATTCTACTGGTGACGTTGTTGGCGAAAACAGTACGCAGTCCCTGTCGCTACATGTTTCGCTTGTGTTGCTAGTAGCCTACACCTGGCCACCATTATCTGAGTGTGTTCTGGCGTTTCTATAAATGGTTTTGAAGCAATCTTTTTACTGTTTATATCTAAAGCGGCACCCATGATGATGGTTTCATCCTAACAGCTCTCAGTTATTTGAGTTAAAGTTGCTCACAAGCACCTAGCAGACTTATCAAAGCCAAAACCTTTTGTTACAAACACATGTTTATATCCAATGCTGTTGGCTTTCTGTTGCATGGAGAATCGATGTGAAATTAATCCGAGCTGCAGTAGAAAACACCTGATAGTGTTAGTTTCTATTAAATATCCAACTAGGCAGCAAGCTAGCCCCTATAGAGTGCAGGGTTTATGTCCCTTAGGTCCCGTTTTCGATCAATCACCCAAGGCGGCTTGAGCTATTGACAGTGCCGCATCCCTCTGGGCTAAGCCTAGCCTGAAATAATATGTAAAACAGTTCCAGCCATTTTTAGATAGGATGTCCTTGTAGCCCCTGTTAATGGTTGGTTTGTGAAATCATTAGAGAGGAGAGAATATAATTTAGCTTTAGGCTTGAGTAGTACGGAATAGGAATGTTAAGAGATTTCACCTTGCACTTATTCTTTGTAATCTTGATTTGTCTTGAGGTTATAATAATAGTGAAGAGAGAGGAAAAAGACTTAGAACTTATCAGATACTTTGAGAAAAATCACAAAATAATGCAGAGTAAAAATCATTAATTACAAACAGTTGTATTTCTTTGACATCAACAGAACATTTTTTTTTTACAATAATAATATACCACATGTTAATATTAAAAAACCCTCTCCTGAGTAACCCAAAACATGTGTTAGAGCCAGACCAAAGGCAAAACTATTTGAATATTAAAACGTTTATGTCTTTGAGGCAGACTAAAAGCAAAATAAATCACAGAATACTTAACAGTTTGTACTGAAGATGTTACTTCACCTTTCTACAAAAACTGTAGTCTGTGGCAGTACAAGTTCTTCAATTTAGTGTTGTCAATTTTTTTTAAATAATTTTCTAAGATTACTCAATAAAAGTTTTCCTTAACGTTAACATACATTTATTTCAATTGCTATGTAATAGTATATTACGTTACTAGTCCTGAAAATAAGTGTTTACCGGACGAGTGTGGTCGTTCCCGTGCGAGACGAAGTCGAGTACGGGATTACCATTCGAGTCCGGTACACACATTTTGGACGAGTTACGTACGATAGTTTACGCCATACTACTAAATCCGTACAAATCCTTATATATTTCCACCAACTAAAGGACTAAAAATCACTAGTCATAACCTCTAAGATAGGTTATGTTTTTGTTTATAACCACTCACTGTTACCTAAATACAGTATAATCAGCTGATTGGTGTCCGGTAAAACTCATTGCAGTACAGTAGTACGCAATGAAACCCCATTTGAATAAGCTGGCGGCAAACAGCTGTTTTCTGGACTAAATCATTGCGTGGGAAGTTCGCCAAAATAATGTATTGTGGCGTAAAAGTACATTAAGTCGCTTTTTGGAGAAAGGATAGAGATTAGTGGTGACAATTACATTGTGTTTCCTGTTGCAGAAAAAGGCCAGATAAACTCCTGACAGAAATAGATCCTGCTGTTTCAGAAGCTGATAAGACTGAGATAAATGGAAACTTGACAGAAATACTTGATCTTGATGATATCGGAGGTAACTTAACATTTTGTTTCCATATTATGTCAAAAGTGACTTTGGTCGCTAAATATCCATCGCATTGTTAAAAGAAATAATAGTTGTGAATTGGGGATTTTGTCAGGATAGCAGGCCATCCCAATGAGTAACTAGTTTACATCAAAACCAGTACCAGTAACATCAAAAACTTTACACCATACACAAATTTAGAATGTTTCACTGTTATGGAGAAAAGTGTTGTCATTGACAGTGGAATATTCTAATTTTAGTGTATTGTGTAAAACTTGTTTTTCCCTGTGCCAGAGTGGATGCAAGTACCTCTTTCCTCTTCTGATAGTCCATCTTCCTAGCATAAATTCTTGAAAGCTAGGCTATTGTGCTCCAAGTTACATCCTAGTCCAGACCTTTAGACGGTAAACCCGACACAGGAATGGTCTTCCATATCCTGTGCATAGAACAGCTCTGTATGAAGGATCGCCATGGTACATGGGTAGGAAAATTTACAATAACCTCCCAGATCAAATTAAAACTGAAGAAAATATGTCATTCTTTAAAAGAAAATTAAAATCTTATCTCATTCTCTTGTGTCCTTATTCCCTAGATGATTTTATAAAAACTAGCTTTAGGTTTTATGGATTGATAAAAACAATGAATAAGGTATTATTAGATAGTAAAGTAGATTGACATGTCATATGTTTATATATGAAAATCACAATCTTGTAAACTTATGTGACGAATAAACATTTCATTTCATTTAGAGCTATTAAGTGGTATGATATTTTTTGTTATTTGTATATACATTTATCTGTACAATAAAGAAATAAATTAAAATATATAAAGTTGTCAATTTTCGTAGTGTAGTGGCTTGTACCCCAAAACTCTTTGATCTTTTTGCACACATATTTCAAGGTTAAATTGTTTTTTTTTTTTTTTTCAGAAACTGTGTCAAGAGAATCTAAAGATATCGACTGTACAATTGACGTAGAGATGCTTCCTTTACCGTTGCCCAAACCAAATAAGAGAAACAATACTAAAACAGCAAATGATACAATAGTGCCAAAGAAGCAACGGTTTGATACCAGTTCGACAATATCTCCGTTACCGGTTCAGAAAAATCATAAAGCCACAAAAACGAGAGACAGTAGCTGTATTCTAACCCCTAAAATAAGTGCATCGTATGAACATTCCATCAAGAACATTCAATCGTCCAAAGACTTGTTGAAATTTTTAGAAGTTGAATGTAATGTGAGACACTCTTCCACTAATGGAAAGATGGTTCAAAAAACGTATCTGAAGGATTGTGATAAGTTGCAATGGTCTATGATGGAGAAGTTTTTGAAGAAGCAAATTAAACTAATTTCTAAATGTGAAATTTCTGGGGATTTAGTTTTGCAAGAAAAACTTTTGAAAAGAGTCAGAAAACAAATTAAAAGTTTGGTAAGCTAAAATAGTTTATTTATAACCCATTCACCTCCCTTAGTCTTGACTGTAGCTTACAGTAATTATAGATAACCAGATGCCACATCAGCTATTTGAATACCATTTTTATTTTTTTAATGTCTTTGTAAATAGTAGTTCTAGGCTATATAAGCAAACAGTAATCATATTATGTAACTATTCAATCGTTTTTATATAGTAATTTTAAAACGCCGACTAAACTAGATTACATATTTAGTACATGTTTAATACAAATTTGTGTCAAATCTTACAATCTACAAAAGGCAGTAAAAACAATAAAAGACTAATCTAACAATGACTTTACCATGCAATTTATCATACGTTTGAATATAAGTTTTAACTGTTAATGTAAAACAAATATAAAGAAAACACACAATTTTAGTAAAGAACAGCACAATGAAGCAGTTCTAATCGTTCAAAGATAGACAAGATAACCTACTAATAAACATACAACTCTATCAACCTCACTAAAATTGGCCGTTATGTAACTTGCAGTTGTAGTATGTTTGAGTTTGGGTTGTGTGAGGAGTCGGTAGTTTTTTTGTTTAGTGATGTGACTAAGCCAGTAACTGGTTGAAAGCGTGTGTGACCTCTGTGTTGGGAATGTGAAGAGTTACATTGGACCACAGATCCGTCACCACTACTATGTCCTGAATAAGGAAACCTTCCTCAAGCAAATAGTAGTAAAAGAATCCATCTTGAGACCAATCTTCTATGCTGTCAGGACTCAACAGCATGTTTTGCCAAAGTTTAATGTCTGCAAAAGAGAAATAGTGTTTTCTTGTACGATCCTTGTTCGGAGGAGGAAAAAGGTTTCTATCGTCATGTAGTGTTACAGGGCCTTGCAAAAGTTTCTTGACCAGCTCCTTGCAAGCGGGAACACTGCAAATTTCTCTCAACTTATCAACATCTTTGGAATCAATCCAGTAATTTCCAATAGCTCCAGTGTTAAAGAAATTCAGTACAGAGTAAAAGTTGTAGATTCGTTTTCCGTCCACTCCGATGTAGCCATTGTAAGTACTTTGCACTTGGTGAAACATATTTGAATCAACATTGAGTGCTGGATTTCCCATGAGTTGTTCAACTTCGTTCTCGGTAAACCCGAAGAACTCAGTGTAAGTTTCATTTTGAAGAAATCTACGAATCTCGTAACTGTGGAAAGTCACATAACCTATCAGTGGTATCGGGAAAACCCCAGTAACAAATGCGTACCCTAGATTGTGGTCGTTGCATGAAAGTAGGTTTTCCATCAGTTCGATATTGACATGAACTATTTTCTCCAGTTCAGCTTCATCCGCCACATTTCCTATCGCACTTCGGAAAATTGAGTCGTGGTTGTCTATCAACACAACGACTCTTCTGTCATAGAAATGATTTTTCAAGTGCTCCGACAACACTAGCAAATCCATGTTTGTGTAGTACTCATCAATGTCGTCCTTGATGTAACTACTTCTGTCCAGAATGAAGTCTTTCGCTTCTTGATTCAACTTCTTGCTTTTCAAAAGGTAACTGTGCTGCTTGAAGCAATTCTGAACGACGCGCTTGCAAACCATCAAAGCGTCGTTGTAGCTTCTAATCGGACGGTCACATTTGAAATCTAAACTCAGTACAGGATATTTGCCAAAGTGTTCGGTCATAAATTCAGTGTTTCTTGTGATCTTCAAGTTGTGTTTTATGAAGAGCTCGTAGTTGCTTGTGTCTGTGACCGCTCCGCCCTTTAGCCTCGTCATGTGAACCCCTTCCTGGTCCACTTGAACTTCAAAAAAGGTCTTGAGCATGTCCAAAATGGCAGACTTTCCATACAGCCGGGGAGCTGTTGTTACGGTAACACCATCAGAAACCACTCTTGGTATGAGGAGCGTCTTGTCTACAAAAGTATCGGACTCCAAAAGTCTTGCGAACTCGGAGGTTCCAAGGATCACTTCTGTAGATATCGGCAACTAAAACATTTAGGACTTAGCTAAACTATGGGGTTTGTTTTATTTCAATAATGTTTGCAATAAATCATATAGATAGTATATTATATGATATATTTAAAAAAATCTAAATGGTGTTAAATTATTTTTAAGCTAAAGTTGTCATATTAATGAAACAGAGCTTTATCTGTAAAAAAACTCGCTAATTTGTTGCTCTTAGATATGAAATGTATTTAACCTTTGACTCTTCATAGAAGTACACATCCCTCGTAAAAGTGGTTTTTAAAATGAACTTAGTTAAATTGAGCTACCAACAGAGTGTGCTAATGTCAATTACTAATTTGTATTGAATACGTCAACTTCAAATTCACAACCCTTAAACATTTTGGCTTTAAAAATAATAAAAATAAGGGTAGACTGACCTACCTTTTTTTTACTAAACAACCAAAATATACCTCAGTGTTGGTACAGAGAATTAAAATACAGAGGACACAAACTTTTGGGTCAACTGTGCTCTTTTAGCTCTGGTATGGTGAGGCGGAAATGTACTAGTTTCAAACAAGGAAGAACCCAAAAAGTGATGGCCACATAGCATATTTGTACAGCAGTTGTAGCGCACAGGCTCTTCCTATACAAGTTGACTTGTTCTTCATATACAAGTGATTTAGCTGTGCTCCTATTTTCAACATAATCACTACATATTGTCAAACATCAATAAACATTACTGAATTCATTTTTAATTGAATAGAATAATGTGCTTGCTTACCAAATGTAATTGCACCAAGAAGAAAATAACACAAACAAATTCTTGCCGTTTCATTTCAACTGAAGGATTACAATTTGTAAATACTAGTCTAATGAAATGAAAATCAGCCCATCTTGAGATTAAAGAGCAATTGAGAGATTATTATCAAAGTATTTTAGTTGTTAGTTTAAAACTTCCACGTTCTTCCATTAAAGAATATTAAATGGGGATCTTATCTTCATTTAAGTAAGATATAGAATATTTTGCAAATATAATTAGGTCAAAATAACAAAGTTTCCCATATCTTCGTATGGATGATAGCATCTATATTCTACAGAAATATTCAACGGAATATAGATTTAGCTGATTTTCAAAATTCATCGTACCAAATGATTAATCGAGCGGTCTGATAATGTTTAATGATTAACTTGTCAACCCGTATATTAAAAAAACACTATCAATATTATTTTCTTGCTGTTTACGCCAGTGGCATTTTTAAGATATAGTTTTAGAGAGGATTCAAAATGTTTTGAGACAAGCGGTCCAAACCCATGTGTTTTTGCGGATTTGCCAGGAATCAAACTCGACCTTCCCACATTGAAGTCCGAGCCTAACGACTTGGTTAGGAAAACACCCAGTATTAGTCTAATATTCTTACCACAAATACTTGAACAGACATGGTATGGATCATAAACCTATACAAATGATGGTTACTGACCCAAAAATAAACATTATTTAACATTGCTTAAATGGAACTAAAGAAACATATGTTAATGCTATTAGTATAGGATTCGGGCCAGCAATGTCATTTGTTTATGTTTATGATCCATACCATGTCTGTTCAAGTAATCGTGATAAGAATACAAGACTAATACTAGAATGTGTTGTTAATCAAGTTCTGTTTAAGTATTCGTGATTCTTACTAATTCCTTGTAACCAACTATGACTATGAGAATGTAACATTTTAAAGAAAAGCTCAATGTGGTGGATAATATGGATTCGGTGTGATATTAGCTGTTATAATATATAAGTATTTATTTGCTTTTAGTAACACTAATGAATCAGTTTGGTTTGGAAAAGTGGGGGTTTGACCAGATTTATCTTAGAATTTCATTGTTAAAATCCATAATACCGGTATGAGTGAAATCTCAAGTTAATTTTGCTAATATTGCATTAGAAAGCTTTAATTCGTCATCTGAAAGCAAGGATCTTTTTCAAAAGTGCATTGAAGCCTTCTGAGAATTTCTAGTACAATCGGTTAATATACTGCTTGCTTGCCCATCAGGAAGTCGCCGCTTGATTGAGGGAAATGTTTGTAGCGTTTGATGGTTTAGAACTGGATCAGCTGTCCATGACCTTTTGCATGAATGGATTCTGGCTAAGAAAAAGCTGGTCTTATGGTTGGTACACTTCCTTTAAATTCATTATTAGCTGAAAGTATGTAAATCCTTGTTTGACTTGCTGTCTTAAAGAAGTAGCTGATTAGAAATTATAGGTCGGCCGCTTAGAAAACGACCTCCTCCAGCATTGGTTTAGCATTAGCGCGCAGGTCGTTTTCTAAGCGGCCGAACTATAGTTGTTTAATCTGACTTTCTCCCTTTTCTCTTGCTTGACTCCACCATCTTCTCCAGTGCTCCTCCTGAGCTGAAGGCATTGCCTGAGAGGTCTTTGACAGGAAAAAGCACAAATAGATTTGAATTCTGTCTCAGTCTTTAGTCATGTTTGGCAGCCCTTAAGAAGTTCACCCGTTTATAATGAGTTGGTGGAAGAGTAAATTCCGGAGTTTATACTTGAAAATATTATATAATATATCAACTAAATGAACATTTTTCAGGGTAAAAACACAAATCACATTTCAGAGTTTACAAAAACTTATTGTAAAAAGACAAATCAACACTGTAATAACATTACATAATGCATTCTTCCGTGAACTTCCAGTCAAAAGATACAGCTTTCTGCTATTTAGGGGTTTTTGCCATCTGAAGTTAGTTTTACCTCCGGTTCTGGTTCTTATCTTGCAAAATCTCTGAAGCTGGAAGAAAAAAAATCTGTTTAGAAAAATGAATTAGTATGGGATTTTTTCAAATATTTTGGCTAGTTTACCTGAGAGCATTAAAAGTCTAGGAGGTATTAGAGACCCAATAAAAGAATTATCAAAATAAACCTCAACATTAAGCTGCCTCTACACAAAGTCAGTATGCAGGCAGGTTACTTGCCTCAGGTACCTTGAAACACACTTACCTTAAATCAAACAGTTACAGCTACAAATCAAGACAACCCTGGAATTACTGTAATTGAGGCTGACATGAAAGTTGTTATTCAAGAACAAAAATGTAATGTAGATGCTGCTTTCGCTCATTGTATTTCAGCTGATTTAACACATGAAAAAAACATGAGTGCAGGAGTAGCTGTAGCTTTTAAAGAGTGTTTTGGTAAACCATGTGATTCGGACTACTGTAACTCTAATTTAACACAGCAGAAAGTTAACAATGGGCCATCAGTTTTTAGCTTGGTCACTAAATCAAGGTACTACCAAAAACCAAGACATAACAAGTACATATTTTACAACAATGCTTTCGATCAACTAATAGAAGAATTTAATAAACAAAATTTGAAAACCCTAATTTGTTCTCCTATGGGATGCTCCAGAGATCATGTCACACCTGCACACTTTGCAAAAAATATAGTGAAATTCCAATGCTTCAGTTATCATCATAACTTCAGATAAAAGAACCAACACCAACATTAGAAATGGCCTTTCGCATGCTGCGTTTGTCACACGTCTCAGAGAAGCTATAGCTGACAACACTTCTAGTACCGGTATCCATAACATCCAACAACACACTGATGCAACCAGAACTACAACAGCAGTTCACAAAGATGTAGTCCACAGTCAACTACAAGAGGAAGATGATACCTCCCAGTACAGTTTGAGAATTTCACCTTCAATTGTGTCAAGTGATGGGGGGTTGGCTGTCAGTGGGTGTGCTGGTGTCAGTGCGGTATCTGGTGCTGGCGTAATGCATAGCCTCTTTACCCTATGTACACTTCAACTCCCTCCTCAAACCCGAAATATAAATATTAATTGTAATCTAGAAGCTAAGGATAAAGTAAGCAATGTTATATCTTGTACACCACCAACTGTAACAGACAACCCGCCTTCAAAAAACTTATTACAGATGACAAAAGAAATCACTTAAATTTAACCAACAAAAGCTTTAAATTAGATATATTTCATTTAAATATACAACACCTGCCATCTAGAATAGATTCTTTACAGATAACAGTTGAAGAATTAAATCCCGATTTAATACTAATTAATGAGCATAAAATGACAGATTTAGAACTTTCAAGATTTAATTTAAATAACTATTGTATTCACTCATCTTTTGCAAGAAGTAGATCTGGTGGTGGTGGTGTCTTGATTCTTGGTAAAATCAATGGAAATGTAAAACATAGAAAAATAAATATTTTGGAAAATACCAACATAATATGTGAAAAATAATTTGAGTGTTGTATTACAGAGTACAAGCATAATAGTTTAAAACTTTTACTAGTAGCAATATATCGATCCCCTTCTGTAAAAATTAATCTCTTTTTAGAGAAGCTTGACTCTTTATTAAATTTATTGGTGAAACATTTTAAAAATATTGTAATTGTTGGAGACATAAATATTAATGTATTGGACACTACTTACAGGAAAATGCTAAATGACGTACTACAGGTATATAGCATGAGATACCTTGTAAACTTTCCTACTCGTGTTACTTATATGTCAGAATCAGCTCTAGATAATGTATTGACAAATGTTTTAGATTATAAGATGAATGTTACTGGAGTGAATACCCAGATATCTGATCACGATGGATTAATGTTGCAGATTAGTTGCTTAAATAATAAGTTCACAAACCAAAACGCTTTGAGTCCAAATAAAATAACTGTAAAAGAAGTAAGAGATTTTAGTGAAAAAAATTTACACATGTTTACTAAATTATTGGATCATGAAAACTGGATAGATGTTTACAACGCAAATGTTATGGAGAAATTTGACACTTTTCATAGAATTTTTATGTTTTATTTTAATACATGTTTTCCTAAGTTTAAAAAACGATGCAAACAATCAAATAATATTTGGATTACAGAAGATTTGAAGAATGAAAAATCTAAAATTGTAAACATGAGTAAAATGGCAGGTAACACAAAAAATAAAATTTTATTTGATAAAGCCAAAAGTCTGAATAAGGCTTTTAGAAAAAACATCATTGCTACTAAAAAGAAACATTTTGAGACTAAGGTTAAGCAATCTAGTAATGTATGTAAAACTACCTGGAAAATCCTTAATAATGAGGTCTCCAACAAGAAACCAGCATTTAGTAATATTGAAATAGATTTTAATCATACATTGTTTACTGATCCTGGAGATATTAGCTTAATATTTAATGATTTTTTTAGCACCTATGTAACCTCATCAATACTTCCTCACCTTGCACAAAATAGCAACACACATGTCAACAAGCCAATTCAACAAGCCTCCCAAACTAAATTTAGGTTAAAACCAGTCACAGATAGTGAAGTTTTAAAAATTATCAGTTCCTTTGATAACAAACTTTCAACTGGTTTTGATGAGATACCCATGACAATATTAAAGCATGCTTGCTATCAGTTAGTGAAACCTCTTGTGCATTTAATTAACTCATCTTTTGTTAGTGGATTATTTCCTTCTAAATTAAAAATTGCTAAAGTTATTCCTCTTTATAAAAACAATGATTCTAAAAAACTAACCAATTACCGTCCTCTTTTGCTATTACCTACCATTTCAAAAATATATGAGAAAGCAGTTTACATACAACTGACGAATTATCTGGCAACATATTCTTTACATGATAATAATCAGCATGGCTTCAGATCAGGAAGATCAGTTACAACTGCAGCAATAGATTTTATAGAATCAGTAATAAACTCTCTTGACAAAGGTGAAACAACGCAGTTGGCATATTTTTAGACTTAAATAAGGCTTTTGACAATGTGTCACATACAATTCTCTTAGATAAAATCAGAAGTCTGGGCATTGATGGCAATTCGTTTGAATGGTTTAGATCATACATGTCTAATAGATATCAATACGTTGAAATTAAAAATTTGACAAATAACAGGTTAATCTCAAGATCTTCTCCTCTTACAGAGATTCACCATGGGGTACCCCAAGGGTCTATTTTGGGACCGATCTTATTTCTCATTTATATTAGGGATCTGTCAATTCCATTTTCAACTAGTTTACACAGTAGTAATATCTGCCTGTATGCTGATGATGTCACTTTTAAAATCAGCAATTCATCTTTATCAAATTTAGAAAATCATTGTTCTGATACTTTAAATATGCTAAATACTTTTTTAAATTCTCATCAGCTCTTGTTAAATTTAAGCAAAAGTAATTTTATGGTTTTTACAACAGGAAAAAGAAAACAAATTGTACAGCCTGTAATTCAATTTCAAAATAATAAATTGGAAGAAATCACCACAACAAGGTTTTTAGGATTAATTGTAGACAAAAATCTTACATGGAATAAGCATGTTGACCAGGTAGTCAACAAAATTACTTCTGGTATCCATGCTATTAATAGAATGTCAAAATTTTGCTCAATAGAAACATTAAAGATTCTTTGTTTTGCTTTTATCGAATCATCAATATCTTTTGGCATAAGTATTTATGGCTGTACCTCTAAGCAAAACCTGGATAGAATTCTTACTCTTCAAAAAAGTGCAATCAGAATTATGTTAAATTTAGAATGGGATGAGTCAGCTCGTCAATATTTTTCAAAATTGGGAATAATGACTGTATATAGTATTTATGTTTTTCATACAATTTTACACACAAAAAAACTTTCTAATGCTAATTTGGTCCCAAAACTTGGTGATAGTCATAATTATTTTACCCGGAACAGAAATGAAATTGCTGTCAGTGTCCATAATTTGGAGCTCTTTAACAAAAAAACCACCTGTGCAGGGAAAAGGTTTTTGGACAAACTCCCAGCTGAGGTGAGGAATATTGATAATATTTCCAAATTTAAAAATAAACTGAAACATTTGTTGACTGATAAAACACTTTATGGTTTCGATGAATTGTAATTTATTTGGATTTAGTTTTAAGCCTAGTGACGCCATTCAATGTATGCGACTGTATACCATATGAATAAAGATATTTTTTCATTTCATTTCATTTCACACTAACTGGTAACTTGCCTGCATACTGGCCTCGTGTGTACACAGATTTATAGAGAAAATCTTTTTCTTGAATCTACTCTTTGTAGAAGTCCTATCAGGACAAAATTATTCTCTGGACTCTCATTTTCTGTGATTTCTAGCTGAATTCTATCCCTTTAAAAAAAAAGTCATTGGCCACTTGGCTTTCCTTAAAACAAAACTATAGTGATCTGTAATCATGTATAATCCATTTTGTATATGTAAAGAAAAACTCATCTGCCTTAATCGCTTGATCATCAATTATCTAAACTCATTTGAAATCAAGAATTTCAAGTTTTAATAATCAAACCTAATCTAATTTAGAATTAAATACAACTCAAAACTCAAACTCATAAAAGGTAAACAATTGAGTTTAAAAGTGCAAATGAGTTTAAAAACAAATTACCTGTGATTTAGATATGTAAGAAGTCTGCTCCATGATCGTCCAGATGACTATTTCTGTACAGGGTGGAGTAGTTATGGAACCGTGGTAGCGGAAAAACTTTTGATGCTCGTACGGAAGCAATCGCTCCAGGTTGATTGGCTCCGGGATGGTTGACATGTTTCCAAAACTTCTATATATAAGTTCATCTTCAAGTGCTGTTATTATTGGATTTAGGAATTTGTTTTCTCGCACAGAAGCCTGAAATTAGAATCAGTTGTTGGATCGGTGGTTAGTAAACATAAATTAAGAGATGAAAGTATGTATGATTTTATCGCTTGCCATCCCTACTGAAAGATTTAAATAATGGAATATGATTAGGTACCTATTTTATTAGTTGGCCATAATACAAAGTATAATATATACAATAGTAAAATTTAGATAAAATGTTTGCCAACAAACTTAATGATATTTCTCCGGTATTTCCCTTATATTTTGCTGTATATTTTTTTAAATGTGTTAAGAGGATCAAGAATATTGAATTTGAACAATAGTGTTTTGTAAATAATATCGTAGAAAAAAAGAATTAAATATAGACTGTCAGTCGTGCTACGGTTACCATAGGTTCTGGCGCACAGCGTTGGGAGCGCCGTGTAGTTATGTAGCTCTAATGCCGTAACTACATTTCGCTCCCAGCGGTGTGCGCCAGAACCTATGGTAACCGCAGCACAGCTGACGGTCTATATTTCATTCCGTTTGTCTATGATAGTATACAGCTGTAAAAGAAAGCAGAAATGTAGACTAATAATCTCACATATAAACAAAATAGTGTTAAGACCTTCAACATAAAGTAAACACTTAGAAATTTTGCAACATGCTCAGCGTTTAAATTTGCTTCCACTAAAAAGCATTGTTTTAACTCTGTTTTCTATATTCAAAGTCATATAAACATGCATATTTTTAAGCTCAGAACTAAATTGATTTTTCAGCGATATAATGTCTATATTTTAATGAAGTTTTCTTCATCTTGTGAACCCAAAAGTTCAGACCCTCAGTATGGATGAACTAAACTAAACAAAATGGTTGATTTTAAGTGGAATTTACAAAGAATCTACTCATTCCGTCAACTTCCATCTCAGCTGATCACCGTTTATGCATCGGCTTCTCTAATATAAAAATTAAAATGTATTTTCAAAGCAATACAGCCACTATGGTATAAGCAGTGCAAAGCATTGCCAGGCAAAGATTAATAGTGCCAATTGAGTTTGCCATTTCACAAGTATCATTTTGCATACTTACACAAAACAAAATCGCTATAATTGCCAAACCATCGCTGTGGCAGAGTGCCGCGTTTTTATTTTCGTAGTTACTGTTGTAATGTATCAAATGCATTTCCAATGGATATCTGAAGAAATATGTCAAGTATCACTAAGGTACATCATGGACCAAGGACCCATCACTTAAATTTTGTTATTTGGCTTTTTAAAATTTGTTTGACTTCAGTGACTTTTATTGAATTAAATTTGTTACAAATGTTCTTAGATGTAGTAAAAAATGTTAAAACTCTTAAGGGTTTAATATAATGTAACAACAAAACTTGTTTAGGTACCTTATCTCATATTAAATCTGGGAATAGTGAAACAAAAAGTCACACAAGAAGGCAATTGTGCCTGGTGCAGGGGTTGAGATAAGCTGTATCATGGCAGAAAATAACAGTGTCTTACAAACATTTACATCTTCTCCGAATCCAAACTGGCTTAAACTGGTTAAACTGGCTCCAGACATGCACCATTCGCAAAGCACATAATAGCACAAATTTTTTGACGTTCGGCGATCTAGTTGTCTTGGAATTCGCCGACTAACGAGTAGACGTCTACACACATGTGGTGTTTTCCGAGCAACTGTTCGTTTTGGGAATAACAAAAATATTTGTTCACTTTGATGTGTGCTAAAATACCGACAATGAACGGGAAAACACAAGCACGAGCATTTACTGCTTGCCAAATAGACAAACTCCTAACCACACTACTCGGGATTCGGCGAGTCGGTGCTTGGCAAATGACACATGTCTGGAGCCGGCTTTACCTGAGATTTGTGCTCTTCCCACGTAATATTTACTTGGGAGAATTAGTAGAGCTTTTTCACTTGATCTGCAAAGCGCATTCTTAGAGTTGTTTGACTATAATAAACAACCTTCAAAACATTGTAATGTTAAATAAACAAGAAATTCTTTGTGATTACTGATAGTTATCATTAGCAGATACATATAAAGGATATCTGTTATTTTAAGACATTGGATGTAAGGTAAAATTACATCATATTAATAATAATAAACTCTGTGGTCATATAATTTTCATTTCAGCGATTAACATGATTTTAGGTAAAAGTTTTATCAAAACTATTTTAAAAAAAAAAGGTAGTCTGTAAAGCCTTTTATTACTTTTTTAGTAAAAACAAAAACAGATTTACCGTTTATCTTTGATTGTGTGTTCGGAGCCCCAGTGGAAAGTCACTTCGTCCAATATAAATAAATCCCGCAGCCCTCCAGCCACAATGCTCGGCTCACACTCCTGGTTTACCTTCAACACAACTGATCATATTTTCTACATAAAATCATCTGATTGATTGATTGATTGATTGATTCTGTAGGGGCGGACCTTGTCCTGTTGCACGTCAGCCACTGATGGGCTTTTTGTGCTCCCCACATGGTACTTCAGAGTCCGTCAAACCTGAGTTGCTTAATGAACTCAAGCATCCTGTCAATGAGCTCCTCCTGAGGAAGGTGTCTGCCCCTTGTCATAACACCAAGAGTACTGTCCCTTACCTCATTCAGAGCTGTGCAGTCGTAGAGTAGGTGATCAGCAGTCTCCTCTGATTGCCCACATTTCCTACACGCAGTGTCACCATTGTGGATCCTCAAGCGATGCAGGTGTAATTTCAGAAAGCCATGTCCAGTGACCATTCCTGTGATCTGTCTGAGTCGCCTCCTGTCCAAGCGTAGGGCATTGGAGGCGACCGTCTGGGAAGGAGAGAAGAGGGTGAGCTTACTTACCCTATGGTGCTGAAGCCTAACCCATCTTTTCCTGTGTTCCTCCTGAGCCCATGCCATGACTGAGTGACATGCATGCCCACGAGAGATTCCACAGAAAGGCTGTGGTCCCACGAAGTCTGAGGCTGACGCGACATTTGCTAGCCTGTCAGCCACCTCATTCCCTTCTATCCCTGAGTGCCCAGGAACCCAACAGAGCGTTACCTTGTTGCGCCTGCCCAGGTCACATACCGCAGAAAGGCAGTCCCAGACCACCTTAGAATTAAATTCATAGGAGTCAAGCGCTTTGAGCGCAGCCTGGCTGTCTGTGAAAATGGAAATGTTGATGTCCCTGAAGCCTAGCCTCAGGTTTTCCCTAGCACATACCATAATCGCAGTCATTTCGGCCTGGAACACAGTTGGGTGAGTGCCCATAGGAAGACAAATGTCCACCCCGTTCTGCACTCCATGAATTCCAGCCCCAGTCCCACTTCTTACCTTAGAACCATCAGTATACCATTCAAGGTCGCCTTGTGGAAGAGGATTCCCACCGGACATCCACTCATCCCTGGACGGAAGGAGGACAGTGAATGGTCTGGCGAAGAAGAATCGAGTCGGCATGTGATCCGAGGGCATGTCCATTACCTCCCCTCTTACCTGCTGAGTGATCCGAGAGTGACCTCGGGATCCTCCAACATCCAACCAAAGGTTTTCACACTGGAGTCTGTAGGCAGTCCTCCTCGCAGTGACCTTGACATGCAGGTCAATCGGAGTGAGGTTGAGAAGGCAGTCCAGTGAGGCTCCCGGACAGCTGCTCATTGCGCCCGTGATGATGAGACAGGCGAGTCTTTGGACGGCAGCCAGATCTCTCACCGCCGACACTGAGTCCATCTTGGGCCACCACACGAGTGAGCCATATGTCATGGCGGGCCTTACCACGGAGACAAATAGCCAGTGCATGAGCGCCGGCTTGAGCCCCCAGGTTCCTCCCACCATACGTCTGCAGGCCATGAGTGACCACTTACCTCGATCAATGACCTTTTGGAGTTGTGGCCCCCATTGCAGCTTTCGGTCCAATACCACCCCCAGGTACTTTACCTGATTCTGCAATTCAAGCACTGTGTCTTGTAGTCTCAGAGGTCCAATGCCATTTAGATCATCTGATATACTGGACTACTTTCTAAAAAGCTGCTTATAAGACTTAAAAAAAACTATTCCTCTAGGTTTAAACCTGGAATTTTTCTAGGTTTCTGTTTAGGCTCAGTCTAGAGGAGGTCGTGGCATTATCACTTGGGTAAAAATGTATGGTTGGCGGGATTTGAACCCGGGATCACGGGGATTAAAGTCCCGCACTCTACAACTAGACCACCTTGCTCCTCACGAGTCTAGTATCAGTATCCCTCACTGATTCTAATACTAGACTCACTTAAACCCCGCTTTAAACACCAGTGTAAGCATTTTACTTGAACATTTCGAACAGAATTGTAATAATACCTGAATGACCGTTGTTACACACAGTCGTGTTTACGTTGTCGTAGTTGATGAAACGTAATGGCTCGACCTTGGCTCGCCACAAGTTCTTGTAGACCAGGTTGATGGGTGATTGGTGGCGGCCAGTCATACACTGACCTCCCCATCCTGAACAAAACATATTACAAATTAATTATATCCTTCCATCACATCCTACGATGTTAAACTTTGCCTTCAGCCATTCAAATTCAGTTTGTTCATTGCAGAAATTCACAAAATGCAGTGGCTAATGTCAATGAATATGTGACATGTCAATACAAATCATGTATTATAAATAACTAGTGCACCTGTTGCTCGAATTCAAGCAATTGCAAAGTATTACAGGCGTTATTTCAAAACGAATAACGTCATAATAAATTTCCGATGACTTAAAAGAGTCAACTCAAAGATAATGTAATCAACCACTCCACTCCAGTTATCAAAACTGAAAACGAACGCTTTTGTGTGTATCATGTGTTTACTATGAACAGCTGTAATTAATACAAATTATTCGTCTGTTTTAGTAAACAAAATCTTTTCTTCATCTGAAATAAATTAGCATTTTTATGGCCTGTGGGGCAAACCCCGAGGACGTTTATTACAGGAATTGGTGAAAGGAGGCGTCTACACAAAAAACAATTAATTTTTACACATCGTTTGTAAAAATCAGTCCATTATTAACGGAGGAGTACGGTAGTGTTTCAAAGGAAATCGCCTTCACGTATTATATATAAGGATTTACACATAGAATGAATATATGCAACAATTTTACACATTACTTCAGGAGAGATATGAAATTTCTTGGCACTATCACATCCAACCCAAAAATTAAATACTAAACATGTTTACCTAATACAAACTTTCAACTCGATATTTAACTTACTGCACTCAATTACCAAAGAGGAGGCCGAAACTTTGAACAGACATGACTACCTCACACACCCCATGACTCATTCGATTGCAAAACAGTGACTACCTTCTGTGTCTTTGGTTGCCAGTTGTCATTAAATTGAATTTTGTAGCGTTTTAAAATCAGTCAGCGTTGCTGTCTATTTAATTTGTATTACTTATAACTTACTCGTATGCAACTATATAGTCTTTCATTTTACAAATGCATTACATGCTTTAACAGTCAGCTCTGATTTCACTCTTACCCTCGTTTTTGGGATCTTCTGAATGCCTCCATTTCCTACAGGAAACTATTTGAATCTCGAGCTCTGGAAAAAGGCTTAAATTAGTTACAAAAACAGAAACATTTTACTTGGTATCCATATCCTGTACACAAGTATAATACAATCATTAACTTTGGAAGTTTATGATGCAAGTACACAGTATGATGCTTCAAAGTCATATAAAAAACAATAGAATCCACTGTATAGAATTGGCAATACTGTTAATAATACTGTTACTGTTAATACTGTTCTATGAAATGGCGACCATACAAAGTAGGTATTTTAAGCCAAGTATGAATGGAGATGAGTGTAGGATGAGTGGCGCGATCTTGTAGTCTTGTTAGTGACTAAGGCCGACATTCCTTAGACACAGCTGTTAATTATTAGCCCATACAGCTAATGGCAACTAAGGGACCTACAGTTTATGGTGGAATCCGAACCACATTTTTGCCTTGGTAATTGGTCTAATCATCAGGATAGTACTGTGGATAGTCGTAGTACTCACCTGTGCGGACGTTAATCCACACTGGGGAGTATCGCATCCACAGTGCATGTATTTATTTACTATACAGGGTGTCACAAAAAAGTGTGATGGGCTATACAGGACCTAATTCTACATGCAAAAATAAGTCAAAAATGAAGAATAAATTTTTTTGGATTTCGGCTTAGTTTAGCCGTAATCCTCCATTTTGTTTTTTGGGGAAAATATTTATTATTTCAAAATCCCTTTGATATATTTTTACGAAACTTGGCAAAATTGTTTACACTATAGTAAGTAACATTTATAAAAAAAATTATTATTTTAACTTTCCAAATTTCAAAATGGCGGCCGTTTGAATTTTTTAATGCCAAATTTCATGAAAACCGCTACCTAAATCAACATTTTGTAAGAGACAAAAGTTTTAGTATTTATTATGACAAATCCAACAAAACAAAAATGAATAAAATCGGTTCATAAATAAAGAAGCTGTGTTTATTTTAGTAATTTAGACTGAAATTATTAATATTAAAATGTATTAAATGTAATGTAATAATTTATGTAACGTATTAAGTAATTTCAGTCTAAATTACTAAAATAAACACAGCTTCTTTATTTGAACCGATTTTATTCATTTTTGTTTTGTTGGATTTGTCATAATAAATACTAAAACTTTTGTCTCTTACAAAATGTTGATTTAGGTAGCGGTTTTCATGAAATTTGGCATTAAAAAATTCAAACGGCTGCCATTTTGAAATTTGGAAAGTTAAAATAATAATTTTTTTTATAAATGTTACTTACTATAGTTTAAACAATTTTGCCAAGTTTCGTAAAAATATATCATAGGGATTTTGAAATAATAAATATTTTCCCAAAAAACAAAATGGCGGATTACGGCTAAACTAAGCCGAAATCCAAAAAAATGTATTCTTCATTATTGACTTATTTTTGCATGTAGAATTAGGTCCTGTATAGCCCATCACACTTTTTTGTGACACCCTTATAAAGATGTATACTATGACACTCAGCACAAAATAAAAAATCTGTTTTAATTTACTATGGCTCTATCACAAAAACGGGTCTTCTTAAAAGTTTCTTTGTACTGTATCTTGATTGAAATCTACCCTGTCGCTGGTCTGTTTCATCTTCAAGCTTCCTACTATATTGTCCCGTACAAACAAGGTTGGTTGTATTTGTCATATTCTTTGATTATTGATGGAAAGTGCAATATTTAATTCATGGTAAATATTTTTAGCTACATTTCTGTCATAGAGTATAAGATCAAAATCCTAAACAGTTATTTAAACAGTCAGTTAATTACTGGATCCCAGTTTTTGGGTATAACCTGTGAATAACCATTTTGATCATTAACTAGATTTGGAAAATTTTTATTTTTTTGGGATAGGTTTTGGAAATTATGTTTTCTGATTGAATTATTGAGTTTGTCTTAGAAATACATTTGTACTGTTAGGTAGATGCTGTTGAATTTTCGTTACCTAAATCCCTAAGTTTTTTTTCAACAGCTTTGTCCAAGACCCTCTTATCTCAATGCTGATGAAAATAAATCTTTTAATATTACATAATAAAGTCCAAAGTTTACCTGCTAGCAGTAGTGTCAACAGCCAGATGGTATTGTGCATGTTTTGTGTGCGATTGTAGCCACAACCGTGACAGACGACTGCTCTCTCCCAACTGGCTACCTGCCCTTCCAGTCTAATCTATTTTAGCTCTCCATTTAATATTTAGTTTAAATCTTGGCAAAGATGTGACACGCCTACGTTCATTCTTGCTTACTTTTACACCATTAATGAATTGAGCTTTTTATTTAAACAATTTTGATTTTATATTTGTCATATATTCATCACAAAATACTTATATGTCCACATCTATCCTGATGTATTTACATATGCCATTAATGAATTAGTTTTTTTATCCAAACCATTTTGTTTTAGTTATTTATTTGTCACAAAAACTCCTTTTGTTCTGATAATACATTTTCTTTATACACTATGAATATTTACAATGTGATAAACAAAGGTTTAGTGGCTTAGAGGTAATTTTTTGTACTAGTAAATATATCTTTTTTCAAAGACTTTGTCTCGTTTACAACACAACCTCAGGGAAAAAATCTCACAAAAATAAAATATTTTACCCTCCCCCTCAGTAATAAACTATATCATGCTGGAATTTATATTTAATGACTTCTGCGTAGAGTCAGTTAGCATGTCTGACGGGTAGATAGTACTGAAATAATTAATGCATAAGGGAGGCTGTTGTTCCATTATGTATGAGGTCTCATTAACAAACTTAAAACACCATGAAACAATGTCAACCCATTACAACTACAACATTATTACTAATGCAATAAACATAACAAATAAGTTTTCAAAAACTGTACTGTAACATTATTTCTATTTTAATTTTGTAAAAGATGATTTTGTTTCTTACAAAAGGATTTTACAAATTTATTTTTATAGTACTTATTTTTTGCAACAGGGATCTTTTAAGATCTATTCTTGAAGAATATAAATTAAAAATACCCAAATTAAAGGATAATTAGAACCTATCCTGAGAAAAATGTGTTACAAGGAACTTTTAATGTAAAACATAACAAAAATATTATACACCTTAAACTGTTATCTCATTTATTCTCTATCTTTCTCATAATACATATATATCTTCTTGCTAGAAAAACAAACACCATCATAACAACGACCATCATCACCGCAAATGCTGCTAACATATACACCTGTAACATAAAATTCTAGATCATTCTATTTTGTAATTTTCCTTATGGTAAACATTATTATTCAAACAAATACCCCCGCCGCAGCAAACCTGCAGACTAAGCGAATTTCCATTTGCCTGATTGGATTTAAACTAAAATGTCTCCTTACAAATATCACATTTATTCCCTATTCAAACAGAATTAGTTTAATGAGTACTTAGGTTTGCTGCAACAGGGAGGGTAAAAAAGTTTTTTTTTAATGTAAAATGTTAAAAGGTACTGTGGTTTAATAAGAAATTAATCTATTTTCCAAATTTTATCAAAATATGTTCATAAACAAGCAAACTACTACAGTTGACTTATATTCTCCATAAGAATAACATGGGAATTTTAAAATTACAATTTTTTGGAATTTTCTCTGTGACAATTAGGCGCATAATAACGCTTCAATATACTAAATCATTTGTTTTTTTAAGCTCTACGAAATGGTTTAAAAAGAAATTGTGAAATTTTGTGTTTTTAGGGTCAAAAATGGGAAAAAACTATTTTTACCCCATAAAACCCCCCATAAACCCCTGTTCCCATAGTCCGATCATGCTGGTTCGCGAACTCATTCAAGTTTATCCCGCCTTACACCTTCAAACCGAATTTTATCAAAATCGGATAAAAATTACTCAAGTTATCGTGCGGATGGACACATATATATATATCTATATATAGATATATAAAAATTTGAACGAATGGTGTTTTTGGCCTCTGGGGACATCAAAATGAAAAAGTAAATCGGTCCCGGGCCTAGGTCTTACCATGAGACCTACGGTAATAGCTACTTCCCTATAGGGAAATTCGCTAAAAGGGTTTCAGTTTACTGTAATTATTGTAGTGAACTACAAAACTAAAATGAGTTAAACTAATCAATTGGTTCATCAATCTAATAGACATTTTTATCGGCTCTCATCGCTAGCTCTTATCAGGAAAAAATGATCTTTAGTTTCTAATATTATTTGTGTTGCAGATTTTGCACTTACCTGTGGTACACTCTTTGTTAGTTCTGAGACGACAATAATCAATAGATTTCCAAACGAGTCAGTCAAAAGCCACAAAGAGGAGATAACAGACTTCATACTTTGAGGAGCCTGAAAAATATACTCATACTAGAAATAAGGTAATAGTTTTATACATTGTTTGTACAGTAATACGAATAGTGTATCATCAACACGATCCCCGAGACAATTCTTATTTATTTGTTGTATTCACTGCCAGAAAGCATACATAAATGCATACAACAATGCTATTTAAATTATTAAAATGCCGGTACTCCAGCCCCATCTTCAAATTCTCTAAGGGCCCTCCACTTCTTTCTTGTCCTCCTTAGAAAAATGCTGCTGGCCCTTAATGTTGCACAGATGGGTTTTACCCTCAACCAGTTCATCACCACACGTTATTTGTATAAAGTTGTATAGTTCCAACAACTATAATACCAATCAAAAATTTTTTTTACGTAAATAGAAGCAGCATAGATATTGTTGAAGAAAATTTGTTGTCTTAAACCTGACTTCCCAAACAAGTTTAATTGAATACAGTACATCTACATTTATGTAGGAAGTAAAAACTTAAATGATTCTTACCTTAGAGTAAGAAAATTCAAGTCCCGTTATAGAGAACATGATTTCCGCAGCAGAAATGACGATAATCTGCGGAAGTTGCCAAAGAATGTGGACACTGTTGGGTGGAGTCAGGGTGAACAAGGCTGCCTAAAAGAGAAATAGTAACACCTTAAGTAATAAGTCCTTCTTGTGGGAATATGTAACTTACATTTTAAAATGTTGGAAAATGATTTTATGCGGGACCTTGTCCAGATACTAAGATTTAAATATTGGTTGTGGGTTGTTGGATCCCCTGTATTTATTTTGTTTGAGAGGATCTGTGGGTTTATTATATGAAATAAAGCTACCTCTGTCTTGCCTGGATTATGGTTCCATTGCTTAAAATATGTTTTTGTGTGGTTTTATTTCAAATAACACCTACAGCCATGTCAATGGAAAATCGGATCAGCTGAAGGCATCCATCTAAATGTTCCATAAGGGGGGCTGGAGGGTAGGGAATAACCGACAGTAAAAAGGGGGTTCAGGGGACCACAAAGTTTGAAATTGATGTACAAAATGGTTGATTTGACAAAATTTTACTTTATGTTTCGTAAATTTGATTTTTTGAATAATTTTAGCGAATTTCCCATATAGGGAATAAGCTATTACCGTAGTACTCATGGTAAGACCTGGACGTGGGACCGATTTTTTTTTTCGTTTTGAGGTCCCTAGAGGCCAAAAACACCATCCGTTCAAATTCATATATATATATATATATATATATATATTTATATATTTATATATATATATATATATATATATATGTGTCCGTCAGCACGATAACTCGAGCAAAAATGATCCGATTTTGATGAAATTTGGTACAAACGTGTAAACCTACGTCTATTCGAACGAGTTCGCGATCCAGCATGATCGGACCATGGGAACGGGTGTTTACGGGGGGTTTTATGGGGTAAAAATAGGTTTTTCCCAATTTTGACCCAAAAAACATAAAATTTAGCAATTAATTTCCAAACCATTTTGTAGAGCTTCAAAAAACAAATAATTTAGTATATTGAAGCGTTATTATGCGCCTAATGGTTACGGAGAAAATTCCAAAAAATTGTAAATTTAAAATTCCCATGTTATTCTTATGGAGAATGAGTAAACTGTTGTAGTTTGCTTGTTTACGAACATATTTTGATCAAATTTGGAAAATGTTTTTATTTCTTACTAACTATTAACATTTTACAAAAAAAACAGTTTTACCCTCCCTGATGCAGCAAACCTAAGTACTTGTTAAACTAATTCTATTTAAATCGGGAATAAATGTTATATTTTTAAGTAGACATTTCAGTGTAAATCCAATCAGTCAAATGGAAATTCGCTTAGTCTGCAGGTTTGCTGCGGCGGGGGTATTTAAAATTTGTAAAAATGTTGTTTGGGTTTTATAGGGGGGGGGGCCCTTCCCATATTGAAGGACGCCCATGTGAGTCAGTGAGTAAAGTTACCTTCCATCAATGCGTTACAAGTGTTACACCTTTGAATCTTTTGATGAATTAATAATAACCTTTTTTTAGGAAGGTAACAATATTTTAGGATGTCTTAGACCCCCTTCAGGGGTGGGGAAAACTCAAACTGAAACTTAAAAGTTTGTATGCAAACAATACTTTATGCATATACTATATTGTATAGGGAAAGGAAAAATAAAAAAAGATTCATGATAAATTAATATGTGTAAACACAAATCTCACACAAACCAATACAATATCTTACCTTGTCACCATTTTGTCCTATGAGTATCGTATAAACACCACCAACATCCAAAGGTAGATTCGTTGCTACTTCTTTACCATTAACTTGTAAAGAATAGCCTCTGTTTAGAGAAAAAAACATGACAAGTGTATGAAAATCCTACAAACTTCTTACACAGTTTTTATCCAGAAATTTAGCTTACTAGCATATCCTGTTAACATAAATTTAACATACTATAAACTTTAATATATAAATGTTCAAACGTTTTATTGTGAATAGTTGCCAGATCAGAGGAAGATTCCATTGCAAGCTTCGTTCGTCCCATCCAAAATCCTTATACGAATATTGATCAAGGGTTAAATAGAAATAACATTTTTAAATCGCTCAGTTCAAAAAAAATTTGTTTGTACAATTTCAAATGTTTACTGTCCTCACCAAAAAATATTAAACTGTAAACTAAAAGATCTTGACTAAAAATATCTTACTCACCCCAAGATAATAATTCAATATGGTAAATATCTATAAAATATGTTCTTTTGGATAGCCGTTTTTAACTTACCCAGTAGGTTCCACTAAATATGTTTCTGTCGAATGAGTCTTTGTATACAAGGTTCCATCTACTTTAGAACTTTTTTGTTTGTTGAACAGTGAAAACGTTTCATCACTGAGGACATTGTAAACAACCCTGAAAATGGACACCACAATTAAAACCATTATTTATCATTAAATTGAAATTAGAAGCTAGTACAAAGTGATAAACCAAAATAAGGTCTAAAAGTCTGTCTAAAAATTATAAACTTTGATAATATTAACTACGTTAATTTACTTTACCTACGAATGTTTTTTTAAAGTTGCCGTTTCAGTTTATTTCTTAGGATTGATAAGAGCATTGTTTACATCCATAACAGCATAGTTTTACTCATAACAACACAGGTAACGGACCAATGAGGTTCAAGGATCGAGAGAGAAGAAGTAAAATTTTAATGATCCAAACTTCAACTAATCAGCTGTTCAGACCAATTTAATTGTTGAGTGGTGCATTAGTGTTTGGTACAATGTTTCGTTGCATCAATGTCATTGGTAATGAGAGGTTATAAACGAAAACATAACCTCTCTTAGGAGTTATGAGTAGTGATTGTTAGTAATTAAAACACTATCGTAGGTAAAGTAGTGTACGCAACTCCCCTAAATAGTGTTTAACGACATTCAAAAAAGTTTTTAAGGCACTCGCGTATCTTAAATTTTCTACTCGTGTCGTTAACACTATCTTTACGCAACCGTTGCGTAAACTACTATTCCAGCATAGTTCGAGTTATAAGTTTCTCATATAAATACTACAAATTTTGTTTTTTACACCAAGCAATGGCTGATTTCTCCGCCCTCTTGAGTAAGATATTATATAAAGTCAAAATTCTCTTTCTATCAAGCTTTGAAGGAAAATATTAATTTCCTTTAACTATTCTACATATATTCATTCATCCTGAGAGAATTTAATTATATTTTCTGCTAGCTTGTAGCTCATCCCGATCACATGTTTTAGCTATGTTAATTCTTGTTGTCTGGGATGAAAGCCAAAAAATAAAGTGCACACTCACACATGTACAGCTTGTCAACATCTGCTCAATCACACATAACCAGACAAGAAATTTAGATCAAAAGAGGCTTCAGATTTTTTTTCAAATTTTACAATAGGACAACAGGTCTACTTGCGGTATTTATTAGTTGAAAGCCAATGTCATATTGTATATTGCATTACCTGATTTTGGATTCTGTATTGTCTGATTTTTCAAGATCATCAAATGTCTCATCCAGTCTGACTATTTGCAGACTATTTTGGGATTCAGTAACAACAAACGATACCGCCTGGAACATGAGAATAACAAGCATGGTTCTATTACAGGATAAGATTGTTTAATAACATTAGAAGATTACATAACACCCATAACACTTAATAACATAAAAAATAGATATACATCTCATTCGTAAGCATAAGTATAGTACAAATAGGTGACACTGCTTATATTTGATGTGAAAATGTAAAAATATCTGCATATATATAAATGCAAATATAAGCACAAAAAACACATTAAAATAAAAAATGTAAAAAAAACGTATTTCCAAGTTAGATTGTTTGTCAGAAGTTTTTTATGGTAGATCCTACAATATGATTCAATCTAACTAATTAAATATGCTGTAACATTTCTAAACTTGAAAAAAAAAACACTTTCTTATAATTACTGTATTATATGAGGAAAGTCTCAACTGTATAAATCCTTTATTTTTTCTACATATTATTTGCAGGTTCTTAGAGTGAACAGCTTTTGTTACTCTTTTGGTTACATCATCACAGGGTTTTAGACAGTTATTTTTGTAAATTTCATTCTCCCATGTATAAAATTTTATACAATAGATAATTTTATTGATAATTGATTTATTCTTTAAAGCAAATAAAAGTGTTGATTCCTAGCAGCAATAATTACTAAAAGTTCAACAATCCCAATCATCCGATTTCGAACCTTAAGTGCTTTCAAAGTAATCTTTGTACCTCGGCTTCAAATATATCCAGTATTCCGACCGTCACAGGCAGTACTGTGGGACAGTCGGGGCCGACAAACGCAGCCGAGTACATTAGATTTTCCTTTCCAGTGACAGGGATGGACTTTTCCTCTAGGAGGCCCATGCTGCCTACTGTCCAGGAGAATTTCTTGCCGCTGCCAGTGGCATCTATGTGCAACGGACAATTGTAACTGTTGTAAATACGCAGCTGAGCCTCGCCCGCTTGAGGTAGAACTGCGTAAGAATCCTGTAATTGTTTGAATAGAGAGATACATTTCTTATATGGCTGATAGAGTAATAGGGTTTTTAATATTTTTTATTGTATTTTGATTATTAATTTTTACTTTGGAGGTTGCCGTGCTAAATTGGGAGTAGGCTCTATTCTTGATAGAACTATAATACATTAGAATTGTGTAATAATATGTTTATGCATTTAAATACCAAGATAGCTGTAAAAAAGCCTTTAAAGAACTCCAAACACTCTCTGTAACTCCCTTTACGCCATAGAAATAAACATACATGGAGTTTCCACCTAGTCAAACTTGAACCAACACCTCAACGGAGTTTACATGGAGTTTCTACCTCAATGGACTCAATACTTCAAACTTTGTGTTTCCACCATGTCATCTCAGTATGTACAGTAAAACGCCATCTTAAACGGAGCCCAGTTCTTCAATCATTTGCCAGACCATCAAGAGATGGTCAAGAGATGGCATTTGCATAAAGAATCCCATCAAAGACCCTCAAGAAATTAATTAGATGGCTGCTGGAGACATCATAGTTCAAAGAAAGGGAATTTTTAACTGACCAAAGTTACTAATCAACTTCGACAACTTCCACACAAAACATTGTACCATTTTTCTGTAGACTGCACTATTCTCAAGGAATAGGTATAGTAAAGGTCATTGTCTAATGTCTATTCTATTACATGACATTGGAATAGGTCTGAGTGACATAAAACCAACATGATATAAGTAATTTTCTTAACAAATAATTTTACACAAAAAAGGTACTTGTTTATAAATGTTAATATATTATGTCAACCAAATATTTCACTAGCTAAAAAAGGTACTTGTTAAAATTGTGCTTTTATAAAAAATAAACAAAAAATATAAATACCTGAACTTTATACTCGACGTAAGCTGACATAGCAAATGCAACTGCGGCGATTATTCCTCCCCAAAACAATCTCCTCAATGAGGTTCTCACCAGTCCCAACTTTCCCAAAACCGGATATAATATGAAGTCAAACAAAGGAATGAAGATCATGATCAGGACGGGGTTGACAGCTTGCATCTGATCCGGTTTGATCGTATAGTTCCAAATCTTGCCGTTCATGTGGACGGCTTGGAAAGTCCACCTGGAGCCCTGAACAAATATTGGTTTTCAAAATGGAATATTTTGAAGTACCTATTAATACATTGGTCAATCAAAGTTAATTTTAACTTTGAATTCATGGTTTATCCGGTGTTTTATTTAAATAAGTATATTTTTTAAATTTGTTCTCTTATCATAAACACAGAAATACAATATATTTTTAATCATACTGTCTGGAAAACAACAGGTTTTAATTCTCTAAATCGTCTGAAAAATCTTTGTTTTCGGCTAACTTAGGGAACAGAAAAAACATAATATAAAAAGGCTGTGCACAATTGCGTACCAAACAGAGCCACTTTCGCTCCTAGTGATGAAAACTATACTATTTGCAAAGTTTACAGTTGACAAAAACACAGTAAAAATAAAAGAATCGACCAAAAACCCAAGCGTAGTAGATGTTAAATTTACTTTCCGGTTGCAGCACATGTCAATTGTTCAATCAATAGGTGTTTCAGATGTGTTTGTACAGTCATATTCAAAATGGTCTAAACTATTTAGCTGAATAGTTATAGTGCTTCTCTAATAATCAGAAGGTTGTTGGTCCTATTCTGAGAAAGAATAACAGGACTCAGCTGTTCACGATCATTGGGCTTTATTTATACATGATCCCAGCTAATGGAAACAGCTGATCTTATACTCTGTTCACAAAGTTTAGGCATTTTTAGAGGAAGACATCTATCCTCTCCACTTGATCATCCTACCATTTAAAAAATAGCTCAACAGCTGAGGTTTGCCAAAATGTCAATCAGCTGTTACATTTGAAATAAGCAAAAAAGTAACAATTTTATTACCTGCTGGTCGTACAATGCCCAGAACAAGATTGTGGGTGAGAAGAGGTAGATGAGCTCTATGAGTATTTTAGTGTCTTCTACTAGCTGAGGGTTATACTTGTCTGCAGCATGGTCCAGCCAATGTTCTTTCTTCTCTTTGCTTGATATTTTTTGCCAAATACCTCTCTAAATAAGAAAAAATACAGTTTGGCTCTTAATTTAATATGTCAAATTTATTTTTTAACTCTTACCACATGCTTACCACATAGTTACATGCGAGCATCAAAAGTTTTTTTTTAAACAATCGATAAAATTTGAATTAATACCATTGAATTGAATGTAGCATACTTCCGATGTTTGTTGGGTAAAAATAGAGAGCATTCATCATATTAAACTACTGGTAACACATATTTTGCTGAAATTCTTAATCACAATTGAAATAAAAGTAAATCTGGTTAAATATTAAAGAGGTTGTCAGCCTCTTTCAACACTTAATTTGCCCAAGCAAGTTAACTTCAGAATCTGTGCCTTGAACGCATCAAGCAAAGCAGAGGGTGTGGGTGGAGTTAGCTGGGACAGTACAAGAATGAAATATAGTAATATATATTTAGTGGAAAAACCAAGACGTGACCCTATAATATCACTGCTTTAGTTTCACAAACCAAAAAATTACCAGTAATAAATTTAAATTGAAAAATGAATTTAGGGTACTTACTCCCACACATTTTGAGGCATCCACCATTATATTTCCTTCAGGATTTTTCATGGTGTAAAGTGGTTTTCCGCAAACAAAAAACACTAAAATCAAATAATTAGAAATAATTATATTGGTTAAAATCTTTGATAAACAATAAAAAGTAACTTATATTTTGTGTTTTAAGATTATTTTAAATTTGTAATATTATTGTAAAGTAAATAGGCCTAAATTTGTTAAAAATTATAATAAAATCCATGCTGAATATTCAATACTGTAATTAAAATTAAATGTTCTGAAAAAATGTTTTTTTATTGCATGTGCCCTGTCAGCTGTAGACTGTCGAGCTACACGGAACGTCAAGTTAGACCAGCGATTTACAAGAAGACAAGCCATATAGAGTACAATACCCACCTAGTGCTGTAACCATCAAGGCAGCTGGAACTCCAAAAGCTAGCGGATAGCATGAGTCACTCCCTAAACACGGCATCACTCTCAACTCAGGGGTCAGGTATGTGGAGATTGTGCTTCCAGCGTTGATAGAGAAGTAGAACACACTGAAGAACGAAGCGAGCTGTCGTTCTTGTTGAGGAACGACAAACTGATCCCCTCCGAACGACGAGACGCAAGGCTTGATCCCACCGGTGCCGACTGCAATGAGGAAAAGACCGAGTAAGGAAAACGTCCTGTAACACGAAAAGATATTTTATAAGGTTAATGGCAGCCTCTTTTAGATTTGTGTTTGCCTCTTAAGGTAAAGGTCTTGGTTCTAAACGCAGAATGATTTAAGCAAAGTAAGAGTGAGCTTCACTAGTACAAGAATGAACTGTAGGTACCATTCAATTTTATTGGATGCACCGGAGTACAACCCACAACATCACTACCATAAATCACTACATAAACTATAGCACCGTTATAACTCCATCAATAAGCTAAAGATAAAATAGAAGAACTTCAAAAACTAAAAACGCCAAAGTGCAACGCCTCTAGTTCACTGGGATTCTAAGAAATAGCTATCAATTACAATTGATAATTGACTAATGAGTTTGATGGTTCTACTTACGTTGGATCAATCGATAACTCCATGCTGGATGCAGTTGCCAGAACAATGTTCCCAATTGCGTAGATTATTGACAGATATAGGATGGTCCTTGAAAATAACAAATATACAAGTAACTAAAAACTGTGATAACTTATTACCTCCTTACAAAACCTCATTACTCAAATAATTTAACAATATCAAATCAAATTTGAGATTTAAGTTGTTATAGCTGAAACCTCTATAGTCCGTTCACCAAATTAAGGCGGTTTAAGGGGAAGGTTTCCTGGGTTCCCTCACCACTTTTTTTAGCTTAATGTATATATCATCTGATAAGCTGTTGACTGTTTCAAAATCAGGGTGAGGTGGAGAGGATTGAATCACTTCACCCCAAACCCCCTAAAATTTGTGAATGGAGCATAACAGAGTAGACAATTAGAAGTCAAATTCAGAAATATTGCTAATTTTAGTGGCGGTAAACTATGATAGCAATAAAGATACAAAAAATATATGAATACATTTAAACTTCACAATAATTTACACACTTGAGAAAAGTTGTTAATAAACTTTCCATGGTACAACCTTTGTATAACCCATTGAGCTCCATTATATTAAATTATCCAATGATTTAACAATGTACAGTATCATGCTTTTACTCATCATATAGATTAAAAATTCAAATTCATCAAAGTTGTCAGTGGAAACAAAAAAGGAGAATGAGTAAGCAGTAGCAAAATACCTGATCATTGATCATATGTGTAACTCACAAGCAATTTTATCACATGAACTTCCAGATAAGTTGTTTACTGTTTATTTTAGGTGGGTCCCTCCCATCAAGCTCTGCCTCAGAGAGCTGAACTCCTCATGAGTGTTACACCCTAGATTTGACCAAGAGAGCAATTGAACCCTTAATATTCATTGATCAGCCGTCTCCTGACCAGAGAGACAACTCCAACTAAACTGCTCGACCATTTGGTCTTCCACAGTATAACGAAATATGTTCTCGTATAACAGTTATTAATTAATATGGGAGAAACTCCAACTTAAATGGCCTGTGGGGCAAAACCCGAGGATTTTTATTACAGGAATTTGTGAAAGGGGGCGTCTACACAAAAAATACTTTATTTTGACACGTCGTTTGTAAAAATCCGTCCATTATTAACAGAGGAGTAGTGTTTCGTAGAAATTGCCTTCACGTATTATATATAAAGGATTTGACAGTATAATTCCGTAAGCGAATCGGTCCCCACTGAATATCTCGAGCTAGGAAAAAGGTAGCACGGCTGTTGAGGATTTATTGAGGTCCAAGGAAAAATATCAGAAGTGTCAAAAATTGCCCCTGCTCTGCCTCACAGGCCGATCAAAGATCCAGTCATTTTCTAATGGAAGTACTGCTACAGTGTTTCTATAAGCTGTTTCAAATACCACCTGATGTAAACATTGTATTTTGTTGGTTTATTGATTTCAGTGTTCTATTTTTAAGTTACAATGGCAATGCAATGTTGAAATGTATTGTTAGAGAAAGTCCGCGAGAAGGAGCGTATTCAGGAATGGGGCACAGCATAGGGAATGTTAAGGCCAAATCACAACGGAGGTGAAGGGCAGCAATTGCTGATCTGGTCCCCTAGTTTTATTGATTTACTTAAAAGTTATAGCTTAAAATGTGTTTAAAAGGAGTCTTTAAAGGTGAACCAAAATAAAATATAATTTCAAGACAATCTAAAAACCAATTAAACCTTCAAAAAGCTGCATTACTAAAGCCCACCTGAATTTCCCCCAGAAGCAATCGGCAATGATAGCTCCGAGGAATGGAAAGAAGTAGCAGAGCATAACAAAAGTGTGATAGACGACGGTGGCGTCATCCTCAGAGTAGTTGAGTTTGGACTGGAGGTAAATCGCCAAAATTGCTGGAAAATATTACAAAAATTGAATTATCATTATTGAATTGATGACAATTACTTTGCAATATAAAATAATAAAATCACAATAAATTAATTTCATATGAGCCCTTATAGTGAGCACTTAATAATTAATAGTATATTTCATCACCAGGGCCTAAAAGTGACTCTTTTTGACCCGAGGTCAAGTTTTACGATCGAGGCAAAGCCAAGGTTGGCAAATAAGCGAGGGTTAAAAAGACACTTTTCGTCCGTGTGGTGAATTATATTTGTTGTCATATTGCAACATTAACTAACAAACTAAATCAGAAAACGAAATAACTTTTATGTAAAGATAATGTTTTAAATCGACTTTCAGCTTGTTTTCAATTCCGTTAATGCAAATAAGCAGCTGTTTAGTAAGTGATTCAATCATTTCATCTACTACGATTGCATTACAGTACATTATACCATTGATATGTCAAGCGATCAACAACAATAGGCTAAAACCTTAGCGATGAATAATTGTGATCGATAAAATTGCCACAATTGAAATTTACAACTGTTTACAACAGCTGATTTTTACTCCCTAGGGACTAAAAATGATTTTTACTCTCTAATGCTACTTTAGACCCGCAACGCATGCATTAAAAACAGCTGCTTCTGCTGCAGTATGACTAAAAACAATTTATCGTTGGTTTAATAACAAGGCTAATTTTAACAATGAGTTAGAGAAATAAAGGCTGATGAATTCCTGTCACAAATTTAAATCCAACTTTGAAGAGTAAATCTAGCAAATCTTTAAATATGCTATGAAGACGATGAGATGACCAACGTATAAAAGTTGTAATCACGACTGATCATCCCAAAAACTCCTAATACAGCATGGCTATAGTGTCAGTATAATAATTATTGAGCAATGATGGAATCTGAATTAGTCTGCACATTACATGAAACATGACACAAAATAACTAGCTAATTTGGTCATAATTTTAAATTCTGTTCTATTCACCCATTTGGTGCTGAAACTGGTATTGAGACACTTAAAGACATAATGGAATACAGTAGTGATAGGTAAAAGAGGTTAGATTGAGTTTTCTAGTCTTATAATAGTGTGAGACATAGGTAAGACGTAAATATTATCTGCATCTCCACCGTTCTAAGACTACATTTTATATCCAAACCCAAGGAAATAGAGCTGTAACACCCTCTTTCAACAACGATCAATTGACACGTTATATTTTGTGTAGTGTGTGGCAGAGTCAACCCTTCGTTTATTCCTGCTTAGCTCTATGCACTATGTAAGTACGGTAATTGAAAACCTACCTTCAGGGGGTTAAGATCACTTACTTCTGTTTCCGTAAAAGCAGAATCGCTCACAAAATTCATTGCTGATAATGAAAAATACTTGTTTAGGATACTTCAGTGGCTAGAAAAACAAATTTCACAGGCTATTAGTACAATTTATTGGTTTTCATAAATTTCACAGATGTTAAATCACAGAAAAGTGTCAATAGAATAAAAATTTGTACCGGACAAGAAAGCGAGCTAATAAAAACGTTTAAAAAGGTTAGACCTTTTGTATCGCCAATAATTAAGTGATGCAAATTTGTAGTTGAACTACTGTACTGTGGTTCGACCACAAACCATGGCCATGGTGGTAGCATGTAAGCAAATTCGACTACAAATTTGTATCACTTGGGGTAAAGAAGGAAACTTAACCTTATAATGTATAGTGGTTCAGAGGCTAAGCCACAATGAAAAGAGTGCCGTGTTGTGGTTTTACAATTTTGTTTTGGTTGAATTTTATTGTAAGAGGTAACTTTAAAGTAAATTACTCGCTGAGTATACGGTTTTTCTTGAAAAATTTAATTTTAAATTTGAACAGTAAAATTATTTATGTAACTGTGCAGTTTGCTACATTCGGAAATGTTTACAGGACAGCTAGTTCCTTGAGTGCAGCAAAAATACTATGCACACAAAATTACACACTACAATGTTTAAATAATGTTGAAGAAGAGAAAAAACAAGTAATACAATTACAAATGTTATTTTAAAAATGAGATGAAGATGAAATTACATACCAGTAACTAGACAAGGGGACCGACACAACTATACTTTTTGAATCTTAAACATGTATCCCTACATAGATGAAAAATTGAACATATTTTGTTTGGATGAAATTGTCAGTTAAGTGTATCTTAGCTCATGTGCTTAATAATGTGTAGTAAACGGAAATATATATTTGCTATTTTGTCAAAGGACTATTTTGTCATTTTTAACACTATATATAATTGATTGTTGTCTTGTTAAACACCTTATTATGTAAAAATTGAAATGATCTTTAAAACATTATTTAATGTAAAGCATGTAAGATGTAAAATTACTTTGTGCAATTCAGAAAAATGTTATTCTATAAATTTTATTGCTATAAGAACTTCTTTTTTTGTTTAGCTTGAACATTGTGATCCAGTTATAATAATTCTTATAGTTTAGACTTTATATAGTATGATTCTCAATCAAAGAAGTGAAGGTTAAATAGATTAATACTGTACCTTCTCATTCTTTTCCTCAACCTCCAAGTCATTGACACCAGCTCCATTTAAAGCTAAAATAATAAAGGTTTATTAAGATAAACTCCTTTTAACCAGCTTATTGAGAAGAAAATGAATACTGGGTATAAATAGGGAAGAGGAGTGAATAGTTATTGATGGCAAAGTAGGTTCAAGTAAGTTTGATATATAATATTTAACCACACTTGGGTTAGGAATACAAGAAGGAAAAAGGTATTGATAATTGAATACCACAATAACTTGCCCCAGAAAAAAGGTTCCAGACAGAGCACAAAAAGTCCACAACACAATCAGTGTAATTTGAAATTCAACCTGTTTGTTGAATAGGCTTCCTTAGAAGGAAATGGTAGAATAAACTATTCTTTTTCATTCAACCATTTCTACTACTTTGATTATACTAGTTATTTTCTAAAAGACTGGAAAAGTCCCTTCTAGGGGCAAAATTTCAAATAATTTTTCGTAAACTTTTTTATTCTGCCAACTGCTTTGAACTCTTTTCTCGAGTAAATTAGTTACACTTTTTGGTTACCATTTTACTTGTTGACTATCTTTATCAGGCCAAATGATTGAAAAGTCTGGTTTCCTCTCTTCCTGTTTCCAATAAATTCCATCTTAAATCAAGCATAACAGTTTTAAGCAACATGACAAATTTATCTAACTTTTTAAGGAATTAATAGATAGCTTTTAGGAAACGTAAATTTCTTTGAAACATTTGAAATTGACAAATCATATAACCATTGTACTCATCACTTCTTGACACTTGAGATAAAATTGTACATTTAGGGAAATCCTCAAGAACTATAATCAATCAGAGAGTCATTGCCCTACAAAGAGGTTACAAGCTATTAACTATTAACCTATTAACATGGTAATCAAATAATTTTCAGTTTTGTTTTGGCACAAAAGTTGTGTAATACATACCATATTTAAAACCAAATGATTGATATGATGTGTCAACTTGTTAAGTGTTTGACTTTATATACGAGGAATCAAACAAAGAAATATACTTGAAGATTTGGTGGTCCCCATGAAGCAATGGTATAATTTGAGTGCGAAGGATATTGCAATGCAATAAAAACAATTTATATCCTCTATTCCTCTATGTACTATTTTACCAAATCAAAAAATATCTTGAATACATATCAACGTTTCTTTAAATTACGCCTGATATAAAGCCGACTTCTCATTTTCAAGAATGTCTTCATATGTATATTATATGGACGCCACCTATGTGCGTATTTTAACCCAAAGATTGAAGTGCAGAATGGAGTGTGATTCCTTGTGTAGCTTTGTAACACATTAATTACCATCTTAGTAGTTAACTTTGTAAGAAAATATGTTTACCCCAATTGTCACTTCATTTTACACATTATTGTGTTTACAAGTTTTCTTATGTGAATAATTTGTGAATGAAAGCCAGATGTGGGAGAAAACGTATACTTACATTTACCATCAGGATGAGTACATACTTGCGATGACATGGTAAATAACTAACTTGAAGTTTACATGAGTAAAACTGATAGATAACATATCAGTGACAAGTCCTCTTCAGATACAACATTTGGATCTTTATTGTTATATTTATCTCTTCCTTAAGTTTACAGCCATTGATAATTCTTATTTTGATTTATTTCCTTTCAGTTTTACTGACGTAACACCAATAACAGATCCTTTTGTAGTGTTCGAAGCGCAGGATTGCGGTGTAAAGTAACGCCAGGAAAAGATAACATTAGTTTTTAAAGTTCTTTTTCAATAAACAGTATTTTTGTTTTATTGTTTAATATGCTGCTTTGGTTTGAAATTATAGTTTTCCCTGTTCAAATTGAAATGCCGTTATTGTTGGTGTATTTGTTTTCTGTTCAGAGTTTGGTTGTACACACCACCAATTGCCTGATATCTCCAATCCTTTTCACTACCTAGAAAATATAGCTGCTTGTTTGTATGATACCTAAAAGTCTCAATTTATTTTTAGTTATTCAAAAAAATACTTTGTTTTATACAAATTGGTTAGAAACACAAAATGAAAATGATTATGGCAATTAAGTAATAGTTTACTCAACGGGGATGAAAATATTTGTAATTTTAACCAGCCCCATTCACTGAGCAGCCCTAATTGTTCTTCCAAAATTGCTATGCTACACACTACTTAGGTAGTAAAGTGTTGTGTGAAAATACAAATTTTAATTCTTCGAGATGTTGTTTTGAATATTCTTTGAGGACTGGCAACTTAATAAGATATAAGCTCTAACTACCAAGCCATTAGAGTTTTTCTAGATATTAATTCAGAACTTGAGAGTGAAAAAAACATTTTTTTTTAATATCCTTGAACCTGATAATTCAAGTAATACTCTGGTAAGATTTTCATGACATTTGGCATGAACATGTAAGGTTGTATATACATTTTAATGATCATTTCTGCTAACCAGTATGTTCGGATCATGGGACCAGGATGTAATGGGATTTTGAAAAAAAAACCCGGTTATTTTCAAGATTTACCCTTAACAAATAAAAATGCATAATTTTGATTTCAAACATGTAGAGCTTTAAAAACTAACTTGTACACTGAAGCGTTATTTCAGATATTATGGAGATAATTAAAAAAAACAACAGAGGCACGAGCCCGGGACTTTTTTCACATTAGTTCAGGCTAGACCAACGGGTTGCGGCATTATTACTGAAACAAAATCAGAGAACAAGAAATACCAATGGTATTCCCTTGCTCGCTAGATAAAAACCATTGGTGATCTGGCGGGATTTGAACCAGGGACCTCAGAGACTGAAGTTCTATGCTCTAACCACTAGACCAGCTCGGTCCTCATTTACTTCATACTATACTAACTTTTAAAAATACCCCAGCCTCAGCAAACCTGCAGTCTGAGCAAGTTTCCATTTGCCTCATTGCATATTTCACTTAAAAGTATTTAAATATCAAAGTATTTAAATATGCTCGAGAATTCGAAGATGGAGCAGGCATCCAACATATTTATTGAAAGAATCAAAAATTTTGTAATATCTGTAAATTTAGATTTATTTGTCTTGTAACTATCTATATTAAATTTCTGTGTAGTATAAAAAAAAATTTAAATATCATGGGGTTTAACGAGTAAGTATCCTAGGTTTACTGCTACAGCGAGGGTAAAAGTTTATTTTTTTTGAAAATATAAATAGCTTGATTAGTTTATAGTAAAAAATAGCATGTTTGTTCAAAATATATCCAAGCAAGCAAACTACAACAGTTGTTATTGTATTCTCCAAAACATGTAAATTTTAAATTTAAAATGTTTGAATTTTTCCCACAACCAATATACTAAAATCACCAACTTGGGAATTCGTATATCTAATTTACTTACTTACTCTTACTCCTGTGGCCATTGGAAACCTAGGTGGTTTTTGGCCTCGCCAACCATGTGCCTCCAAGCTCTTTTATCCTCTGCCAGCTCCAAGTCTGCTCCCATTCTCTCAAGTCCTTCGTCACCTCATCAACCCATCGCATTCTTCGTCTACCTAATGGTCTCCTTCCTTCTGGTATACCTCTGAGTACCATCTTTACCATCTCTCTCTCACTTCTACGGTTAATATGGCCCATCCATCTCAACCTCCTACTCTTAACTATTCCCACAATATCTGGTTCACCATATAATTCTTTTAACTCTCTATTTTTCCTTATCCTCCATGCATTTCCTTCTTTTACTGGTCCAAAAATTCTTCTCAAATTTTTGTTTTCAAAAGTAATAAGGCGCTTCTGGGATTTTTTGGTAAACGACCAAGTTTCTGACCCGTATAGCAATGCAGGTTGCACTATAGTTTTATACATTCTTATTTTAGTGGTTTTTGATAGCAGTTTGCTTTTGAATAATTTCTGAATTTCTATTTCTTCTCTATTAATGTTTGTGATCATCATTCCCAAATACTTAAAAATACTAGTTTTCTGGAACCTATAGTTTAATACTTCTAAGTGGTCTTCCTCGTCATCTTGCCTACTTATTTTCATGTAGTTGGTTTTGTTTTCATTTATTTATTTGTAAACCCACTTTTCTTGCTTCTTTAATTAGTACTTCTGTTAGCATATAGAATATCTAATTTGAGATTCAAAAATGAGAATAACCAATTCTTACCCTACAAAACTCTACTATCTTTACCCTAATGTAAGAAAATATAAATTATTAGTTTTTTTTTTTATTTCTTTAAAGGTCTAGAGAGAAATTGGGAAATTTTGTGTTTTGAGGGCCAAAAATGCAAAAAACCATTATTTACCCCATAAAACTCTGTTCCCATTGTCCGATCATGCTGTTTCGCAAACTTCTTTGAATAAACGTAGGTTTACACCTTTTACGGAATTTCTCACAAAATCGGATGATTAAATTATTGTTCGGGTGTTATCGTGCTAACATACATACATATATAGCCTACAGGGTGGAAAAAAGTCTCAAGACAGTTAAACATTTCAACAAATAATCAAGTTGGAGCTAAAAAGCTTGGCACAAAGTAATTCAGTACGGTATACCCGTCGTGTGGTCCAATCAATTCTACCAAGATACGAGTGACTGGCGTGTGTAAATAATTTTTGTAAATAGGCTACAGTAGTATTGAGTGGAAGATCCCTGAAGAAGCCACACAAAGGTGGAGAAAAAAGAGTAGGGCGAAAACGTCTCATAACAAGAACTCAGGCAACAAAAAAGGTAAATCTACTATAGTTCGGCCGCTTAGAAAACGACCTCCTCCAGCATTGGTTTAGCATCAGCGCGCAGGTCGTTTTCTAAGCGGCCGAACTATAGTTCCATTTGGTGCTGTGCTAGGATCGTGTTTTTCTTTACGATTTCAACCTTGTTATTTCAGTTGTTAAAAACCCCTATTAGCCAAATAAAACTATAAACATAAGCAATAACTTATCCTCTAGTTATATAACCAAACAGTATAACAAAAGATCATGAAATTAATCCTAAAATAATAAAAATTTCAATCGAAACAAAATTTCATCGATACTATAGTGCCATGGGTCTCCAACATGAACTAGACACGAAAAAAAACTCAAAATATTATCTAAACTATTTAAAAAAAAAATGTTGTACAATAGGGTGAGGAGTCTACTGGTTTGACTATAATGATAATAAATCCATCAATGGACGTATTTAATCTATGAAAATGGTTAATCAAACAATGACGCTTAGTGGCATTCCATCTGCACCAACGTACAGTATAAGCAAGCAAGGAAAAAAGTGTAATCTTTCTTCTTTCTTACTGTTTTTTCTTCTTCTTTTCATTCTCACTCTTTCTGACTCGACGTTCTGTACCCACGAGCACCTCCTCTTCCACATGCACAGTAGTCCTTGGAACAGTTCCTGGGATAACAGCTATTTGTGTAATAGCTTCACTGTAACTCTGTATTGGTCCACTCGACGTTCTGTACCCACGAGCACCTTCGCCTCCACAGAGCTCTTGGAACACTTTCCGAGGTAACTGTTACTTCCTATGTGTATTAGCTTCTCACAGCTATCCGCTGTAACTGTTATTATTCCATGAATTTAAGTTGTGGTTACAGTTGACAGCGACAGCAGCAGCTGTACCAATTTGAAGGGTGAGCAATTTTTCGTCTAAAAACGCCGTGCGATTTCGCGACTATCGTTCGTTACTCTATCGAATCACATCATCTATACTACTATACTATCGATTCGATTCTTCGATTGTAGTTGTCGTTTGTTTTGTCGTCTGTTACGGCGGATCTGTCAGAGGCTTTATTTGCATCGAGCGTAGCGTACAATGTTTTGTAAGGACGGATATAATTAGAATTCCTTTTAGGATCAATATTATTTTTTTTTATAAATTCATCCTGATCACACTTTGAAATTAATCGGCTAGTTTGTTCTTCTCGCCAAATTTAAGAATAATTTAAGCAACTGAATAAATATTGATCAAATCCCAATCATCAAGTTAGGCTATGAAGAGTAGAATGGTAGATATACCTAATTTTCTCTGGCAACCACTCACAGTTGGAGTAAGCTCTAGTTGAAAAATTGAACATTTAAAGGAGCCTGGAGAATATGATATTTTGTGTTAGGTCATAGACAAAAAGAATTGTCTATGGTTAAGTTACAAAGAGCCTACACGAGTGTTCCTTGAACAAGGCCAAGACCTAAGTTAAAGAGCAGAACTGATAAATTTTTTTAGTCCACTATGTACTGTTAAAATTGTATTACTGATGATAATATGCTCATTTATTTTTCATTCTATCTTACAAAACGTTAATTTAATTATAATAATTCATATTCATTATTATATTTTTTAATTTACCAAAGCAATAAATAAGTTAGTTATTAGGTGGTATCATGCAATAAACTATAGCTGAAAATCTTTAGTAAACACTTTTTAATTATTAGCAGAACCAACATCCATTGCAGGAAACCTAATTCTCATTTTTGAATCCAGTTTTATGTCCATGAATTAAGCTAAGTACATTAGAACCCCAGAAACTCAACACCGTCAGGACTTAAAACAGCGTCAGCTTTTAAAAATTTAAAGTTTACAAAAGTGACAGGTTATAGAGTAACAGCAATATTTTACGATTTTTTCTGTTTTAGTGATGGTTAAGAATGTATTTTAAAAGATAATGCCAGAGCTAGGCCTATACATATTCACTCTACACGGATATTACAGCAATTAAATTTCATTTTCGTAAAAATATTGTACGGTACGTAATAATGTTTTAGTTTAGTCCTTTCAAAGGAAAATATATGTCAGCCTTATTTCGAAACCTTAAGAAAGTGCCAAAGTGTCCCATAATGTACAATCACATATTTTGATTTCCAACCACCTCATTTGTAGAAAAA